ATAGCGAAAGGATGGCAAGAACGCATGATTTTATAACTGGTAATTTAAGTGAACATGAATCTTAGACTGCACACAATGCAGTCAAAACTCAAAACCGAAACTCAAGTAGTCAGTACGCATATCGCTACATTTTGAAAGAGTTGCCCTATTACTAAACATTATTTGCCACAGCCCTACTATATACTCAAAGACACTCACAATTAGCATACACTGAGACAGAGAAACACCAGAGACATTATTGAGACGTTTAAGTGCTCTATAGCTACATGACTGTGTATTACCTATTACAAAAGAAGTCACGTTCAGACTAGATTAACTTGCTGAATCACTGCACGTAGATCTCCAGAGTCTCAAAGTTAACGTCTTCATTGGGTCGAGCCTCGTCAGCACACAACCTCACCTCAATGTCATCACTGACTGGGGCAGAGATCTCTTTCCTGAACCATGGTGGAGAGTTGAAGTCACAGCAGGTGTTGTGCTCCCCACATCCAGCACCATCCCAGAGAGGATCGTCTCCATAGAAGATGTACTGGTAGAAATTCTCACTGCCAGTGTCACAAAAGTAATCGTTTCCAACAAAGCTTGGGACCGCAGGAGGTGGGCTGTTACGTGTGTTTGTGCAGGGACAAACTAAGGCTTTAGCAGAGTTGTATTCGTGAAGTGCTGCAACTAATGTCCAGATGTGATTGCGTGGACTTGCTCCGTATGTTAGACTGATTCCATCAACATAGTTGGCCTCGATCGCTCCACCGCCACCTCTAAATCCATCTGTGGTTTTGTCCTGGTATCCAATGATCTTGCCACACACTTGAGAGTAATCTACTCCCTGTACTGGCAGAAAAGCCGAAGAGCATCCACCACCATTAATGTTCATAGCACACCGTCTGCGAGGACTGGTGAGGGTCCTCAGACCAGATGGACAGGTACTGCTAGTGTCGTTCATGTCGATAGAGGCCACCCTCATCCAGCCTCCAGCTACACCTTTGCAGCTCCTCTCCATGTCACAGTACATTTGTCTGGGTCTGTTGTTGGTTCCCCTGAGCCAGTAGAGACCCGAGGGAGACTGTGGGGCCTGCTGGAGGATCTCCTTGCAGGAGACAGCAGGGAAATTGGAATTGCTGCCAGGAGTGCCCATTTGGGGGAGTCTGTCTTCCAGAATGTCTCTGATGGTACTGTTGACAGCTGCCCTGACACTTTCAGTAAGGCGTTTTTCTAGCTCATCAATTGTATCTTCACAGAGAGAAGTACAATTTCGAGAGCCACAAGAACAGAGCTCTTCCAATTTCAGCTCGCAGCTGATCTCCTCTACCAGCTCATTAGTAGTAGTAGTGGTGGTGACTACCAGTTCATCATTCTCCAGACTGGCACGGGTCACCGTACAGATCAGGACCAGTAGCACCGCAGGGACTAGGGAAAGTGAAGTCATGATGAATGCAGTGAGTACTTCAGTTGTCCTGTAGGCTCAGCTGTGCAGCCTCTTTTATACTAATGTCAACCGAGCTCTAACGAAGGAAGTCAGTGGTGTGCTGCTCTGTTTCCTATAATCAGCCTTACAGTGTGTGAAAGACTATTATATTAACTACTGACTTCCTTTACTCTGAAGTTACTTCTGAGTAATCAGCTGACACCTTGTTTGCAAGGGTTGTAAGGTTAGTTCCTCATGATGAGAAATCACAACTGATGACTTCCTTGTCCTTGGGAATTTGATTTTTATTCAGAAACTATGCTCCCTACTCTTCCTTTCTTCCCACACATAATAATTATGTACAATTAGCCACGACATCCTGTGCATCTCATTATCTTCACACTGCAGGAAATAGTATGGTCTCAATGGTAATGGTGAATGAACTTCCTAGTAAAGGATGGCTCAGTTCTTCATGGATTGGGCTAAAACTGTTTCTGATGCACGGCGTTGCATGGGGGAGAATTAATTAATTAAGGGTGTGTATATACCTAAAAGAACTTGTCAGCACGGGTTTGTTTGTGGTCTGTGACCCACTCACACGTCAGGGAGAACACTGCTGCGAGCTGGCTACGGCAGGTGGCCTGCTTACTGTCGAAGACTAGCCCAAGCAGGGCGCCAGCTTAGGGAGGTACCTCACCACATATTTGACACTTCATGGGTTGAAATTCTATATACTATGCATTGGAACGAATATTAAAAGCTTTGTTGTTTCATGTATAATTCCTTTGTCATGCTTCATGGTAAAACGCATGCGCGTACGAGCCCCGCCCCCTCATGGTTTCGAGGGTGGAGCTGTGGCTGTAACGTCATATGCATTGCCAGTGTATAAACAACCGTCAGCAGACACAGAGGCCCAGATTCAGCCCCCTTTATTTTTATGACTAATAACAGCCCACTTTTATGACATATTTAAAGTAGTTTATGCCATTAACACTTCAATTAATCTGTTCAGTTTACCTTGAAATATCTTTACACAAAAAGGATAAAATAAGGATGGTAAAACGATCAAAGAGATAATAAGACAGGGATGACCTAGTACATTGGACGAGGGTTACATACTTAAGGGGGTCTGGTAGGCTAAAATCACCAAAAAATGCAAAATATTTTTTCATGTTCTTCAAGTTCCTAAAGGTCCTAAGGACCAAGCCAGCGCCTTGAGCTTAGTGTTTTAGACTATATATGAGACATATACCTCCATATCCAACAGCTATTCCCTTTCTCAGGGACAAAAGACACCATTATTTATGATTTCAACATGCAACACACCACTACTCTGCCATACATTGACATACAAAGTTCAAATTTTTTTCGTATAATTAGAAGAGCACTGTAACGGCAAAGGTAATGTTATAGACGCGCACATGCGCTTAGTTTGGCAACTAGAAGCAAATACTTCTGTGTGTGGTTACTACTCCGCGTTAGTTGCACGCGGACCAACCAATGAAATTGCAGAATTTCGGCCGTTGCCATGGCATTACGTGACGTCATCGTCGCGTGCAAGAACTCGCACCTACACGTGCTTCTTGGATAGTCATCTTTTCGCCCTCTCCAGCACTTCAAGCGCCATGCCAAGGACTAAACAGCGATCAATCCGTCGGGCGAAGCGTAGACCTCCTCGTAGACACGCAGAAAGTGCGCAAACTCCGTCAGATACGCCGACAGGAAGCGCCTCAACAAATGCCGAAAGCGGTCTGACTACAGCCAGCGAGAGAAAGCTCTCCCTCTCCCCACATACTGCCAGTGAGTATCCGAGTTCTGTCAGCAGTTCAGAAACTGAAAGTGAGAGCGACGGACCAAAAAAGGGAGCGCGGATACTGGAAGTAAGCGGGATACAATCGGCTTTGAAGTCGAGTGAACGCGGAAAGGCGTTCAGGAAGAGGGCCAGAAAGAAGCGAAAGGGAATTGAAGACAAGAATAAAGAGAGGGAGGGGCCAGTGTATGTGCCTGGAGGGTTTGACTGTGACCCAGGACCTAGTAAACGTGCTAGGACCAGCTAGAGACTCATTTTGCCAGATGTACTGCCATCTCTATGTGTGTGTTCTTCTTCGGCTTGTTTCTCAAACGCTCACTTTTCGAGTTTGGGGCATTTTTATAAATCTGTATGTGCAGACAACCATATCAAATTTGGTATCATTAGAATCCACTTCACAAGATCTATGATATGACATTGTGTGTTTGTCACATACTTGAAGTATGTGTGTGTTATAGTTGTGGGGTGACCATGGGGATTCTTGCTAAGCATATCACACCAAGGCCTAAAATTGTGGAGAGCACATTTTGAAAAAGTAAAATGTAGTATCACAGTTCATGCTTCTAGGTACCTGTGTGCCATTTTCTGGAGGTTGAAGTCATAGGATGGCTTTACTAGAGCTGCCCCAAGTCGGCAACTATCAGAAATGTCTCTTTGGCACAATTTTGTTTTATTTGAACACTTTTAGCACACACAAAATCATTCAAAATTCACTTCTAACATGTTCTTATGTTGTGACAAAAACTAAAATGCATGGTTTGCACTGTAAAGTTTAAATTGATTTTTTAATTACATGGCGTTTTTTTGCCTACCGGACCCCCTTAACATTATGTAAATTTTCCTCCACTTATCGCTGCAACCGCTAGCTTCTACCAGTTTAAGTGAACATGAAATCTTAAACTGCACACAATGCAGTCAAAACTCAAAACTGAACATCAAGTAGCTAGTCAGGGAAAAAAACTTGACACAGTGCTAGCATGTTGAAGTTGGACAGACGGCTGGTTCATAAATGTTCATTTGCCCCTGGTGATAGGGGATGAAGGGAATATGTACAATACACAAATAAAAAAATTCTAATGAGAGTAAGTAAGGACAAATCACTTAATGCTGTGAAGAATGTTAGTGTCAATGTAAATGTCAGTTGGTGTATTTCATGCACATGCACTCTCGTTGCTGCCACGTAGCCCGTTTTCGTGTCGTGCACGGATCGTGATCGGAAGTATTATAGCTTAATGCAGAAATATATAGCACTTGACAAACTTGACAAAACAAAGCTGCTTTGTTTTGTCAAGTTTGTCAAGTGCTATATTTCTGCAGGAAAAAGGATAATGGGATATCGAACTTCGATTCTTGGTAGACTTTTCAGTGGATTCTACAAAAACAACACATACGTGTTCTGATGTGCGGTAAGTAAAATGTATGTGCTAGCTATACTCACTGCTTTCTTCTTCAGGATTAGACGTTGCTGGAAAGACCACAATAATTTATAAGCTGAAGCTGGGAGAAGTTGTTACTACCATTGGTGATCATGGACAGTGCTCATGTAGATATTTGATGATAAAGAGTTTTGTCGTTTGCGCAGGATTCAACCTCGAGACAGTGCTACAAGAATGTGTGGGATGTTAGTGGAAGAGGAGGGATTGTAAGATCAGAAGAACAGTAAAATAATATAACACTGTGCATCAAAGTTTTCACTGCTAGCGGGTGTTGTAGCGTACTACTACCAGAACAAAGACGTTGTCATCTTTGTGGTGGACGCAGCAGCGAAAGAGAGGGAGGAGGTTCATGACTGCCGATAGACTCCATGACCACTGTATTCTGACCCTGGCCACAAGCAAGCTACCCTGTGCCATGTCAACTATAGAGATCACAGAGAAGCTGGAGCTCAATAAGTTCTCATCAAACAGAGCACGCCGTGAGTTTAGCTGCTTTTCGTGTATATTCACTGCTATTATTGTCAATGCACAGATATTCAAGGGACCAGTGCAGTGAAGGGAAAAGGGCTGTATGATGGACTGGATTGGTTGAAGGACACTGACAGCCAAAAGAGGTGGTCATGAGTGTTAGTAAACCAATAGAGACTCGCTGACTGGAAAGAAAGAATTCCTGGCCTCCTGGTTCCCAGCCTACTTCACATCATTCTAAGGTTGATAGCTAATTGTTTCTCTCCATAGAATATGAAACTATGGTCTGAAGCTGACCGTTGAAGCTAGCCAAGACTGTTCTTATAATTATGCTATTATACGTCTAGAATAACAAGTGGGAACTTGACCTTTCAGCTAGGCAAAAATGCTGTGTTGGGTAGGTAATTCTCAGAGGATTCATCTCACTCACTCAACTGCATGGTGTAGCTAGACCAACTACCATAATTATCATCTAGCTACCTAACATCCAGCTTCAAGCATAATATTATTAATACACCCCATCCCACCATCAAATCACCAAATCCCTGTTCTTGTGAGAGCCTGGGAGCGATATATCTTACCAATTTGTTATGAAGTAGCATTTTCAACCAAAAATCAAACACTTTTCTACAGCAGTTAGCTATGTTTAGCTGCAGGTTGGTATCTATGAGCATAGCTTGCCTCCTCACCGTATATACCAAAATTATGAGCTACAGTGAGACATCACGGCGAGAGCTAGGCAACTTATTAGCGCGTGGATATCTAATTAGCAGGGAAGATGCAGGCGAGGGGTCGGTCCAAATCACCAAATCCCCGTTCTTGTGAGAGCCTGGGAGCGATATATTATTACGAATTAGCATTTTCAACCAAAAATCAAGCAATTTTCTGCAGCAGTTAGCTATCAACCAGATGTTTAGTTGCAGGTTGGTATCTATGAGCATAGCTTGCCTCCTCACCATACCAAAATTATGAGCTACAGTGATGGCATCACGGCGAGAGCTAGGCAACTTATTAGCGCTGAGTAGCAGGGAGGATGCAGGTGAGGGGTGCAGGTCCTAGCAGGCATCCGCGATTTGTTTGCGCGTGTCGAGCCACCCCGCCCCCTGTACTAAAAATAGAGTCAGGAACTAGTGACGCAATAATGATGAATAATGCTGACACGTAGTGCATTTATTCGTGCTCAGTTTTTACATTGCTAGCTGTAGAGTTACAGCTTGCAGTGTATAAAATGGGTTTCACCCAGTCTAAGCACTATTCCTCGTATATATCCTCGCAAAGAGAGAACAATGGGCAACCGAAGTTCCTTTCTTGGGAGAATCTTCGGTAGATTCTACAAAAATCGAGAAATACGAGTGATTATGTGTGGTAAGCCTACACTAGCTAGTGAAGCTATAGGATGATCCTCCGTGAAGTTTGTCTGATCTGCGTTATGTTTTCGTAGGATTAGACGCTGCTGGAAAGACCACGATACTCTATAAACTCAAACTGGGAGAAGTTATCACTACCATTCCTACCATTGGTACGTGTACAGTGGTGTAAAAAGCAGGAGAAAAAATGAGTTTCAGTGGTGTTTTAATTAATTAACCATTGCTAGGATTCAACGTTGAGACGGTGAGCTACAAGAATGTGAGTCTCACTGCATGGGATGTCGGAGGACGAGATAAGATTGTAAGGCTAGCTAAATCAGTTTTCAATAGAACACTAGTATTCAGTCCACATGTCTCTGCTATGAGGGACTGGACTGGTTGAAGGACACACTGACAGCCAAAGAGGTGGTCAAGAGTGTTAGTAAACCAACAGCAGAGGTTAAAGACTCACTGACTGGAAAGAAAGGATTCCTGGCCTCCTGGTTTCCAGCCCTTTCTAATTATTTGACATAATGATGTTCATGTAATGTGTATTGTTATTAATTGTGCGTAGCTCATGATTGGTGATTTGTGGATAATCTCTGGGTTAAAAGTAGCTAGCCCACTATTGTGACAGAAATGAGTGAATTAGCAAGGATACACTGAAAGTTGCACATGTTTCTACCCTCACTGATGGTTGTAACCACCTATAAAAGCCACAAAATTAATGAATATGATGTCAGCCACTAGATCAGGGCAGTGATTAGTCTATGCTAGCCTGCCTCAAAATGAGGTGGTGGAAGTTACTCTTCACCTCGAGTCACACTCTTAATTCTTTCTGGTGACTGCTCTCCCCCTCACTGCTGGGCCAGCACACCTTACACCTAGCAAACATACTACCAGCAGCAAGTACAGGTGTTGAAAGACCCGAGGATTGGAATAAATTTAAAGGAGGGTGGTTAAACTGAATAAAGACTGCACCATTAGCCTTAAGACTACAAATTTTGGCAATTCTTGTGGACGTTAGGCATGAAAAGTCAGTGGTATGTCTCCTGGAGGTACAGGTACAGGTGTTTGCCATCCTCCAGAGGAGCTGCGAGGAGTCCTGCCTCAGACTGCCCACTACTATCCTCTTCCCTCCGCTGCAGCAGACTGGATGGCTCTCCTAGCAAAGCCAGCCAGCCAGAATCAAAGGATGGACGCAACGACTTATCCGGATGCCTGAGACACAAACAGTAGAAAGCTGGAAAAGAGAGATTTCGATAGTATGTATATACCAGCACTGCATCATCAGAGAGTAGATGGGTCGAGGACAGCCAGGAGGTGGTGACAGCCTTATCCCCACTTCGACCAACTTCAGGGTCTGAAAGCAAAATAAAGGGGTCTTACTTGACAATTGGTGTAGCCTTCAAAGGGTTTGTGTCCAAGACTCCATATTTCATACATGACACACCCAAAACTCCACACATCACTGGTAGTAGAGTATTCATTGGAATTTAGAGCCTACATTATTATAAGGTCAGCAGAGTGTAGGAATATTTAATTATTGCATTACCTCAGGTGCAGTCCACTTGACAGGGAGGATTGGGTGTAATCCATCAGGAAAACCTTCCTCTACGTATCTTGCCATTCCAAAACCAGCCACCTGCCAAACACATTATGTGTAGCTTCTGCATAAGGCATCCCGAAACCCTTACTGCATTGCTTGTGGGGAAACTTTTGTTTAATGAAGTTGAAGTTGTTAAAATTTGTGGGAGAGTCCAGTTGCATAATTGGACACGAAAAGTTGTTCTCGTCCTCTAAGTAACATTTAGATGTATTAGCAGTTTAGTTACGTACCTTGCAGACTTTGTACTCAGAGACTAGAATGTTGCGAGCTGTAAGGTTTCTGCGGACCATGTCTTTCGCAGCAAAGTAGCTCATTCCTGCTGCAATCTGCTCACAGAAACTGAGGCACATCACAGACAGCTTGGTCTGCTCTGCGGGTTTGGGACTTGTGAGGGTGAGGGAGTGAGAGGAGGGACATTAGTGAATATGTGAAAATTGCCATTGTGGTATGTTTCCTACCCACCATATCAAGGAGTGGAGGAAATGTCTGAGTTCTCCATTTGGCAAGAACTCCAGCACCATCGCCATCTACACAAATGGCCATATGGAAGCTACAGAGGTAATGGACCATCTCCCCACTTGCTGGATCACTGAGTACCACTCCATAGAACCTCACAATGTTTGGGTGTGCAAACTGAGCATTGATGTCACTTCAAAGCCAATTGAAACATTATCAACAAGAAACTGAAATTCCAGTATTTTGTAAATATTGCTGCCTATCACAAAATTCGTAACATATGTATATTATAATACTCAGATCTACCAGAACATGTCTTTAAACCATGCATCAAAATGCAACTTTTCTTATGCATCAGCTATTTGTACATGAACACTCTTCCATGATTATGATTTGGCGCACTGAGTCACGTTTTTCTTGGTCACAGGTTATGGTGTACAGTTGCACATGCCTTTGCTCTGATCTTGGTGCTTGCTATATAGCCATATCCCTTGATACGCACACAGCGGTTACACACGGAAGCCAGACTGTAGCTTTTACGTACGTCACGCGCGGTGGGGTAACGTAACAAGGTCCAATTGACACTGCGTTCGTCGCGTCCATAGAAGAGATCACGCCCACCGTCATGTTTTCACAAACGTGTGCTGACAGAAGCCATACCATGTGCGTTAGAGACCGCTAGGAGTAGTTACTTCTGCTCCGTTACCTTGCGCCAAACTATGCGAATGCACCGCGCTCGGCCCCGCGTGTCGTCGTCACCCAACAACATCCGGTCCGCCTGCCCGGCCTCCTTGTATAAAGACCGCCGTGCGTCGCTCCTGGATATATAGCTTGTCAGAAAGAGCCAGCGTAAAACAGCAAAAATGAATCATTTTACACCCATTCTATCACTGGCCTGCATTGCGTCTCTACTGGCGATCGGGGAGACGTACCGAGACTATTCCAGCCCCTATGTTGATCCCTGCGGAGCCTCCGGTGAGCCATCCAACACTGCAAACGTTTTCGTTGCTCGTTGAAGCTATTACTCTATTAATCATTACTATCTTTTGTGTCCACCAGCCACACAGGCTCACGATGGAGACATTGCCTACAACCCAATACCTAGCAGCAGCAGCAGGCAAAAGAGGGGAGCTACTGCTATTCGCGAGAGACTGTGGCCCAACGCAAGAATACCTTACAAAATCTCTCCAACATTCGACAGTAAGTGTTTGTATATGATATATGACAAGAGTTTTAGTTAGTGCAGGCTAGCAGTTGTCTTCCAATCCTTTTTGTAGGTTATGAGCAGAGCCTGTTATATGAGGCAATGAGGCAGTGGGAGGCCAGGACCTGTGTCCGCTTCTATGAGCGTCCTTCCACCCACAACCAGTCTTACGCCTATTACTTCAAAGGAGGGTGAGTATCCATCATTGTTTATGCGAGCGCTAAAGATACAGCAAGTGTTTGGCCATTGTCACTGAACACCACTGTAACTATTATTTTACAGATGCTGTGCATCATATGTGGGACGCCAATCGGTATCATATCAGCAGGGTATATCCTTGGGCTCAGGCTGCACAACAATCTCGAAGTACCTACACGAGATTGGCCACGTCATTGGGTTCTGGCACGAGCAGAGTCGTCCAGATCGTGACGAGTACATCAGGATCCTCACTGAAAACATGAATCCCGGTACCCAGTCCAATTTCCGGATCCAAGAAGAGATCGATTCGATGGGCGTTGGGTACGACTACAACAGCATCATGCACTACAGCAGCACTACTTTTGGCAGTGGGCGGACAACTTTAGTTGCCCATGATTCTTCTATCCCTGTGGGCGGTGCTGTTGAGCTCAGTGAGCTAGACATCCTTCAGGCAAACCTTCTGTATCAATGTGGTAAGTGAACAGTAGGAAGTCACATACTTTGAAGTGGTCCTAAGATTGTAGCACCCTCTTCCTGACTATGAACACTACCATACTACAGACAGCTTCATTATCTCTCTCCCTCTCTCTCTCTCTCTTTCCTCTAAAGATTCAGAGAATCCCCCGCCCAGTGAATTGCCACCCCCTGTCGCAAGTGATCTTGAACAAACTCTCCCGGATTTGCCTGATTGCCACATGGACTTTAACAATGATTATGAGGGTGTCGTTAAATCAGACAACTATCCTTCAACTTATAGTCCCAACCAGAACTGCGCCTACAGGATCCGCGTCCCAGAGGGAACGAAAACTGAATGTGACCATTGTTGACCTTCACCTTGACTGGGCGTAAGTATTGAATAAACACAACACCAATGTTGAACAGCATCCATGCAGGTTGTTAGCCAAGCATGGCTACTCCAAAATAAGCACATCTTTATTCCAAGTGCCTACGTAGACGGCTCACCACTTTAATGGACGTATAATATAGTACTGAACACTTCTTGTTTTATCAACCACAGGAGACCTTGCAAGGACAGTGTGACTATATATAGGACCATTGGATGGCTCTGGCGAACCGCAGTTGCACCCCCGTTGTGGGACAGGAGGCAACATGAATGTGGAAATGGATGGAAAAGTTGCCTACATCAAGTTTGCCTCAGATGCCACCAACAGGTGGGAAGGACAGAGGGGTTTTTTGGCCACCTTCTCCGCTGAAGGTCAGTATATTATCCATGAGCCCTGCCAAACACAACAGAGCATGGTCCAATGCAATACATAGTTTATAATTATACGACAGAACCTGATGACACTTGTGTTTGTCTTTCTCATTCAGATATCAATGAGTGTCTAGACAACAACGGTGGTTGTTCACAGACCTGTGTGAACCATGTCCCAGGCTACGAGTGCCTCTGTGGTGATGGATGGTACCTCTCAGGAGACACGAAGACCTGCTTTGGTGAGTTACACGTCTTTAGTGCAGTTTCACTTCCACGGAAGAGGGAGATGAAAGTTCGAAATCCACTATTGTTAGGATTTAACATATACCTACACATAATGGTTCCGACAGAGTTGTACAGACACTAACTGCATCATTCTTCTACTCCAACAGACATGAATGAGTGTGCACTAGGCAACGGCGGATGTCAGTACAAGTGCAAAAACACAGGCGGTTCCTTCTATTGCGAGTGTCCAGAAGGCTCCACACTCAATGCTGACGGGAGGACCTGCAGCAACCCTGGTACGTAACATGTGTAAACACCATCTGTAGTAGGGATTGATCATCTATGGCTTTCCCATGAGAAGTCAGCCATCTCCTTGACTCTGTTGTGTACCTGTCTACTCTCGAGGCCAAATAACCTATACCCTTTAATCGAGTCAAATCAAACTGCTGTTGCCTCTGCTAATGATCCAAACTAGGAGTCATTAATAATTTCTACTTGTGTATGTAACCGAGCAGGAATCGAACTAAAGTACCGAATCCCTTTGTTGCTTTTGAGTCATTAACCCATTCTTGTTTTTGCATGTACACAGCAACATCGTGTGCCGCTGATAACGGAGGATGTGATCACATGTGCTCAGATGGATCATCAGGGGTTTTCCTGCTCTTGCAACATTGGCTACAGACTTCAATCTGATGGAACAACCTGTAGAGGTGGGTGTGTTTGCCCCTGTTTGCGCTGATATCTGATAGTGCTAGCGTTTAGACAGAGTTCTAACCACAGCCAAAATATTGATATGCCTACACCAACCTTGGGAAAGCTGTTCCTATTGCACCTTTTATCCCATTAATGTGTGCAATGCAAACTCCCTTTTACAAATCTATCCATACTTCCACTTCCCACCTATGTATGGACCTTGCCAAATGAGCCATTGCCATGTTTTTCTCTCCCTCTATTGCAACAGATATTGATGAGTGTCTTGAGCACAATACATGCAGCTATGGCGGATGCAGAAACATCGACGGGAGCTACGAATGCACATGTGAGAGTGGATACGAGATGGACCCTGAGAGCAACAGATGCATCAGTAAGTACACACAGTTAGCTACAATATTATAGCTTGTGCAGAAGCAAACTTCCCACTCATTCATCATTCAGATCATTATTGTACTCCCCTCTCTCTATAGATGTAGATGAGTGTGAAAGAGGCCTTGCCCTCTGTCAGGGAGAGGCCCAGTGCAGAGACACTGATGGCGCATATGAGTGCGTGTGTGGAGAAGGTCTGAGGGTGTCCGAAGATGGCCTTAGTTGTGACGGTAAGCTTATTACTAGACCAGCAATAGCAGCCTATGTATCCATATACAATAGGAACCACTCCAGCAACCTATACCGACCTCTACATGGTGTCTACAAATTGCTAATTGCTCCTCTTTCTTGTGGCAGATATCAACGAGTGCCGAAGTGGATCAGTTTGCAGTCATGGATGTGTCAACACTCATGGATCCTACAGATGTGTGTGCCCGCCTGGATACACCTTATCAACGGAGTCAGAGAGCACCTGTGTTGGTGAGTAAATGTAGCCATATTGGTAACAGTAGAAGGATGGTGTGAGTATAGGTATCTAAGACACCTTAGAGTGTGAGTAGATTCTATGACAATGTGGGAAGATGTGAGCTTGAAAAGTTTGTGGTTTCCTCTGCCCAGACATTGATGAGTGCCTGGAGGGAGGATGTTTACAGATCCAGGGTGCCACATGTCAGAACACAGCCGGTTCCTTTGTGTGCCAATGCAACCCAGGCTACAGGCTCTCTAGTGATCTCAGCACCTGCCAAGGTATGCTCTAGGTTTATTCTTTTATGTGCTAGATACAAACTCAAGACTCTAATAAGCACAGATGAAAGACTTAAATGGAGCCTATTGGTAAAGAGTTTTCACCTGTTATCCTACAGATATCAACGAGTGCTCTGAAAGGAGGCACAACTGTTGGTCAGGCTGCTCCAATACCGATGGCTCGTTCGTCTGCACATGTCCGGACGGCTACATGCTTACTTCTGATGGCCGTACCTGCAAGTGTGGGGGTGTGTTCACTGACGCTAGTGGAAGTTTCTCGACCCCCTATTGGCCGGTTCGATACCCTAATGAAAACTTTGAGTGCGAGTGGATGGTCAGCCTCCCAAATCCCGAGGCCACCATTCTGTTCACCATCGATGACACTGCCTACGGAATAAACGGACGCAGTCCCTGCCCCACAGACTATGTCCAATTCTTTGACGGCATGGGCAATGATGCTACCTCCATGGACAAACTGTGCAAGTTTGACCGACCGTCAGATCCACTCGTGACATCCACATCCGAAGGGAAAGTGATATTCAGGGGATCACGACAGAGCACTCGTCCCGTCAGTCGAGTCGGTGTAATGGTCCACTATACCACTGTGATGCCAATAACAGCTCCCCCTCCTACAACAACTGTCCTCATCACAAACCCTCCAACAACCACTGGATCTACTGACCCTCCAACAACCACTGGATCTACTAACCCTCCAACAACAAATCCCACAACAGAAGCAATAACCACTCCACCTCCTGTCAATGAATGCCTCATTAGGAACGGCGGCTGCCAACACGAATGTATTGACACACCAACTTCGCACTACTGCTCCTGCAGACCTGGGTACTCACTGGACAGTGACCACAGGACATGTAACATCGACTGTGGAGGAGAACTGACTGGACCATCAGGAAGCTTCCAGACTCCTGACTGGCCTGAGCGCTACCCACAAGCAAACTTCAGATGCGTCTGGAAGATAACCCGCCTGGACTCCTCACGGTTGATCAGGTTTACCGTCGACAGTAATCACTTTGGGATCAATGGCCGCAATCCTTGCACAGACTATCTTCAGTTCTTCGGGGGTTCTAGTCAGTCGAACCCAGTTGGAAACAAGTTGTGCTTCTTACGTCCGCCCACAGACCCAATAGAGATCACGAGCACAGAGGCAACCATCGAGTTCACCGGTTCATATAACAAAAACCGGCCAGCGAGTCGGGTCGGAGTCAAGGTCTACTATGAGATTGTGTAATGTTTTCATGTGAATTCACTCAGCTACACATCACAGTATAATTGTGCTTTCTGTGTAAAGTGTTTGTTAGTCTTTATGTCAAAATCTTCTGCACATCACTCCATTCGTGTATATTTGAAATTAATCATTTTTATAACATTATACAGCATATCATGTAAAAATGTGTATGGGATTATAATCTACATCTGCTGAATACGATACATGCCCTGCGTTGCATCTTCTGGTGCCTCCGAGGTACTTCTACATTTGTTTTGATGAAAGCAAAGTCTCACTATTTTCTTTCTTCATTCTTTCCACATATATACCTCTAACCTATGGATTACCTCACTTGAGCACAATGTAATTTTTCACCTTACTCCTTATCACATGGGTAGATGTTCCATCATAGTGTTTACCATTGCATAGTGCATTAAAAAAATTGGAAGTGCAAACCTTCGGCGAACTGCGCATGCGCGGTACCACTAATTGATACTGAGGCGAGGCTACAGCTACAGTAGTAGATAGCATGCGAGAGTTGATACATGCCCTTCGTTGTGACTTATTGTACCTTCAAGCTACACAGAGCGAGCGGAAGCGGTCGTGGTAAAGCCTGTGCTAATTTTGTTCACTTGGTTTTGACGCCATAAGTTTTGAAAATCAAAATGAAGCCGGTGTACCTTAGTACCGTAACCCTCGCTGCGCATGCGCGCCGAGGGTTAGGGCGGGATGCATGCATGGGCTCCGCACATGACCCGCCGTGCGCGTTATGCCAAGCAGCAAGGGGGTGCGCAGGAATGCATGCGAACCAGCGCAAGACCGTTAGTTATTTGTGGCACTAAGGGTCTGAATGGCTGAAGCTACCATTAGCAATACAGCAAGTGATGGTTTGTCGCTAAATACCTCGGAGGGCGACACGCTAACACCAGACGATGCCGTAGACGTGTTGGAGGAGCTACTGCCAGCACAGAATAAATCGTACGAGCTGGGGCTCAAGTTAAAACTTCCGCAGCACGTCGTGGAGGCCATCCACGCGACATATTCTAACCCACGTAGTCGCCTGCTTTACGTTCTAATCGAATTTACCAACCAGGAAATGCCCAGAGGGACTTGGAGGGTCATTGTAAAAACCCTCAGGAGTCCTGTGGTCAACTTACCAGCACTGGCTAAGAAGATAGAAGCAGTTCATATTGCTGATCCAATTCAGCTACCAGTCCCTGCCTATGCAACCAATGTTACTGCCCCGCCGGCGAGCATTGACAGTGAAATAGAAAATCTTGAAGATAAGTTAGTACAGCTCGCGTGTGAGACACGAGCAGCACTTTCGGATAAAGAGAAGCAAGATAAACAATTTTTGCACATATTTGCCGACTTTCTTCTCAATTTTCCCGTTTCCAAAAAAGTTATCCATGTAAACTTTTTTTGTCAGAGCGAAGATGAAATCCTTAAAGCTAAAAGTATTCAAAGTTTGTTTGCCATAATTGCCAATTACTGCAACTATTGCAACTATGAGATAATTTTGCATATTGTCAAAAGATTTGGTGATGCTAAATTAAACGGAAAACTTGTGATGTACTGTGATTCACTAAAGAAGTTTGAGACCAACACAACAGTCGCCATCTACCTTCATGCCATTTCAGCTCTGCCAGATAGTGACATCTGCAAGGGATTCACTCAAATGGCCATGAAAATCAACAAGCCCACTTCTCTGTGCACACTTTATGAGATACGACAGCTAAAAGATTCCATTGTGAAAAATGCATCCGTTCAACCCTACAGTGTTTATATTGGCAGTGTTGCTAAAGGGTCAGTTCTAGTGCAATTGCGCATTCATCCCGACTGTGCACAGATGGTGTTCGATGCCATTACTAACAACACATACCAGACTGGGGTTACTGTAGTGAAGATCTCAGATAACGGTAAAGGGTCACTACCTTACATTTTGCATGTGGTCTAAACGAATTGTTCACATTATGCAAACCCCACTGCTTAAGGTCCAGTAGCCCTATAGTATTCTACTATACAATCCACCTAATCCACCCCCTCCTCTTTACCCTCTTTAAGGTGATATATCCTTACACTGGATTTAGAATTTTAGTTATGTCACATTAATAGCTACGAACAACAAAGACCTTAAAGAGCAGACCCACTGCTTAGTAAAGCCTTGTAGGTGGATTTTATAGGGCTACAGTGGTATGTAATCCAGTTGTTTAGGTGTTGATGTCTACATGCACAATTGGTAGCTAGCAGTTTACACTTGTCTGATCACAGGAAAGAAGCAATGTACATATAAATCTATTAAAAGAGACGCAGTGGAAGTAAATGACTATGCAAGTTGCATTCCAAAAGAAAGTGAGTTACCTAGTCCTGCAGCATAATATTAGTACATATGTCACTTTTTTCATAGACAAATGTGAATCATGTCATCAACTGAATCTCAAGAAATCAGTGTTAGAGAAAGTGGTGAAGGTTCTTGAATCCCCCAAGGTACAGGAGATGGAATTAGCACAGGAAGTTAGGGAAATGCTGTCAGGGAGCAGGTCTCCAAGAGTAGGTAGTGAGGATTTACCAACGACACCACCAAGGACAAGGTTTGTTCTTTATAGTTACCACGATTTCCCTGTGTAAGTTAGCTATTTGTGGGTCCAGGCAAAACACCTCCTCTCTCTCCTTCCTTCCCTCCCACTAGCCAACAACCCCACCCTCCAAGTATCCCCACACGCCCCATTCCAAAGCCACGGACCAAAACTGCAGCCACAGCTCACCCACCTCCTATCAAGGTTTGGTAGCTATCCCTTCTCCCATCAAGGTTTGATACATGTATCTCTTCTTAAAACCTCTCAATGCTGTCATTCTCCACCTCCTCTCTCACACAACGAAGGACTCTGAGAGCCTTGGTTCTGAGAGCTTCAGTATTCATGTTCCAACTATGGTATGTATATTTAATAGGACATGCATGTATAGCTATTATAAGGCATTTGTATATCCTCAGGCAGAGAGGAAGGCAATGAAAGCCGAGAATGTGTATGCAAGTTTCGACCATGTGAGTATTTGATCACTCACACTATAACATCACAGTATAGCCTATAGTTCACAGCATTGCAATAATTCCTCAGTGAAGTGAAGTCATAGGCCATTAGTGCAAGAAACAGCTACATAGATTTATCGCCGGTAATATAGCATAACTTACAAAGTTATGGGCTAGGGTTCCGATGATGTAACCTGGAGCTCAGCCGTGACTGTCAGTGATGGCCATAAGCAGCTGTCTCTACCTAAGATTAGGGAATTATCAAGACAGCAAATCGAGTGAGCCCCTTTATAAATAACCCATTATGCACACCAGGGCTATTGATTTGTGTGACTGTAAACAGAGTTGGTGAGTCATTGGGGTCAGGACAGTATGGAGAGGTGTACCATGGGAGGTGGCTAGCTGGAAGAGGTGGTCCAGTGGAGGTGGCCATCAAGACCTTCAGCCCGGAGAAGGGGAAAAACAATCTAGAGTTCCTGAGGGAAGCTGACATCAATGCTCGGTTTGTACACCCAAACATTGTAAGGCTCTATGGAGTGGTACTCAGTGATCCAGTAAGTGGGGAGATGGTCCATTACCTCTGTAGTTTCCATATGGCTATTTGTGTAGATGGCGATGGTGCTGGAGTTCTTGCCAAATGGATAACTCAGACATTTCCTCCACTCCTTGATATGTGGGTACGAAACATACCACAATGGGATATTCACTAATGTCCTGGGATATTCACTAATGTCCCTCCTCTCACTCCCTCACCCTCACAAGTCCCAAACCCCCAGAGCAGACCAAGCTGTCTGTGATGTGCCTCAGTTTCTGTGAGCAGATTGCAGCAGGAATGAGCTACTTTGCTGCAAAAGACATGGTCCACAGAAACCTTACAGCTCGCAACATTCTAGTCTCTGAGTATAAAGTCTGCAAAGTACGTAACTAAATTGCTAATACAACTACCCGTTTCTTAGAGGAAGAGGAAAAGTTTCTTGTCCATTTATGCAACTGGACTCCCACACACAAATTTTTAACAACTTTCAACTTCATTAAACAAAAGTTTCCCCACAAGCTATGCAGTAAGTGTTTCGGGATACCTTATGCAGAAGCTACACGTATATATGTGTGTGGCAGGTGGCAGGTTTCGGGATGCCTTATATATTATGCAGAAGTTACACGTATGTGTTTGGCAGGTGGCTGGTTTTGGAATGGCAAGATACGTAGAGGAAGGTTTCCCTGCTGGCTTACACCCAATCCTCCCAGTCAAGTGGACTGCACCTGAGGTAATGCAATAATTAAATAATCCTACACTTTGCTGACCTTATAATAATGTAGGCTCTAAATTTCAATGAGTACTCTACTACCAGTGATGTGTGGAGTTTTGGGTGTGTCATGTATGAAATATGGAGTCTTGGACACAAACCCTTTGAAGGCTACACCAATTGTGGAGTAAGACCCCTTTATTTTGACATGTCAACTAGCCATTAAGTTATGCTTTCAGACCCTGAAGTTGGTTGAAGCAGGATTAAGGCTGTCACCACCTCCTGGCTGTCCTCGACCCATCTACTCTCTGATGATGCAGTGCTGGTACATACTATTGAAATCTCTCTTTTCCAGTTTTCTACTGTTTGTGTCTCAGGCATCCAGATAAGTTGTCGCGTCCATCATTTGATTCTGTCTGGCTGACTCTGCTACGAGAGCCATCCAGTCTGCTGCAGCGGAGGGAGGATGATAGTAGTGGGCAATCTGAGGCAGGACTCCTCGCAGCTCCTCTGGAGGCTGGCAGACACCTGTACCCGGACCTCCAGGAGACATATAATATTATGTGAACGCATCAAGTAAAATAGGCACACAGGGACAAGTTTGAGTTTGTGAATGAATTACGTAGTACAATGCCCAGCGACGATTAGCCACACCAGAACTGCGCGAGAGCATTACGCGCAACGCGCTTTGCGCTCTACACGTGAGGGGATTTCCCCTCCGCCCGTGTATAAATTATGAAAAGCACTGAAGTGCAAACCCTCGGCGAACTGTGACGCACAATCGTAAGTAAAACGCATGCGCCGTACCACTAATTGATGGGCTGGGTTTAGCTTTAGCTGTTACTCGCGGTCTCTTGCCAGCTCACGCAGAGTCTGACGCGGTCTAACTACACTACTAGATAGCATGCGAGAGGCGATACACGCCCTGCGTTGCATCTTCTGGTGACTCCGAGGTACGCAGAGCACGCGGGTCGATCATGCCGTAGTAAGCCGTTGTGTATTTGCACATTGGCTTTTTCGCGCTCTAGCTTTGCAACGGAGCGTTTTCAGAGAAAACCGTTCGAAATGTCTGACCTTCATTGCCCGTTCAGTAGGTGGTATCCTTTGTGAGACGAACAAACACCCGAGAAGTGAGATTGAGAGTAACAGACACACAGACACACAGACACACAGACCCCCAAGTACTGTAACCCTCGCTGCGCATGCGCGCCGAGGGTTAATTACCACTAGGTTAGCTCGCTCCCGCTCGCCAATAATGTGGCAAACACCCCCTATGTTTACTTGATGCGTTCACATATACCACTGACTTTTCACGCATAGCATCCACACCACTGATTAGCATTGCCAAAATTTGTGTAGTCGGTGAATTGTCATGGTGCCACTTTCTTCCCACACAAAATAATGTACAATTAGCCACCACATTCTCTCCTGTGCATCTCATCATCTCCACACTGCAGGAAATAATTATGGTCTCAATGATAATGGTGAATGAACTGCCTAGTAGCCTGCACTAAAGGAGGGCTCCGTTCTTATTTCATGCACCCCATGGATTGGGCTAAAACCGTTTCTGATGCACGGCCCTGCATGGGGGTGAACTAATTAAAGGGTGTGTAGTATAATTTCCTAAAAGAACCCGTCAGCGCTGGTTTGTTTGTTTGTGGCCTGTGACCCACTCATACGTCAGGGAGTACACTGTTGTAAGCTGGCTACGGCCGGCGGCCTGCTTTCTGTCGAAGACTACCCCAAGCAGGTGCCTATACCTGGCCACCTTTTTTTATACTTTATGGGTTGAATTCTAGGAACGAATATTATTAACCCTCGGCGCGCATGCGCAGCGAGGGTGACGGTAGTCGTTCTGTCTGTCTGTGTGTGTGTGTGTGTGTGTGTATCGACGCTTATTCTGGCTACGAGGCGACCCGTTAGCGATACCAGCGGATTCATAACTACGGGAGCCTGAAAAATAATTAGGCGATTTTCCTCAAACGACTTCATTCGAGAGATATGCCGTGAAAACAAGCGAAAAAGCCAATATGCATAATCGCACTGGGCTTACCGCGACCTGATCCGCTCGCTCTGTGTACCTTGGGGGCTTAGGAAGTCGCAACCAATGGCATGTCATGCTATCTACTACTTTAGACTACGGTAACACGCAATTGACCAATCAGATTGCGAGTTTAGCGGTGACTATTTTTGTTAGTGACCTCTTCCGCGGTAGCTATTTCGCAGCCCTGCGGCACTTTTCTTACGCGTATTGGCCATGGCAACCACGCCTTCAAATCCAGAGACGCGTGCGAGTGGAAGGCAAACGGAGCTTCTGGAGAGGTTCTTTCTCACGAAACTCCAGGTACTCCGTCTTCTAGTAGGAAGCGGTGCATGACTACAGGGCCCTAGCTACAGCTCGAGTCAGACGCGCACGCTTGCGGTGCGAGAAGCGCCCAGCGGTCCCGCCTACTTTCGCGTTAGCGACGCCTAGAACAAACACCCTTGCTGGTATAGTCGTTGTTGTACGAACTGGCTTCCAGTTCGTCCTCAGCAAAAAGCTCCGACCCCAGCGTTGTTGTGCGTTGCTAGCGCTGTAGTCTAAGTTGGTTAGATGCGTCGCCTTGGGAACTACGCGATTTAGTGAGCCTCGGGGCCCTGGTAGTAGCGCCCTCGCTGCGCTCGGGACGCCGACAGCCCAGGGCCCTCGGCTCACTAAATCGCGTAGTTCCCGCGGCTCAGCATCGAACCTATACGTAGCTAGCCCGTGTCTGACTCTCCGCGGGCTACTAGCGGAAGACCACGAGTAAACGCAAATAGCCGACCCAGTCCATCAATTAGCAGTATCGCGCATGCGCAGTTCGCCGAGGGTTTTAAAATTATTTTTATTTTTATTTTTATTTTTTTATAAAACTTTATGCAAATGCATGCATACACAAGAAGCAGTGCTTATTAATAAGTGTACCCTATTGTATAATACTTAATACATGAAAGACAAAATATAGCCGAGAAGCATTTTTTTGAAGCCCATTAAAGACTGTGAATCTGTGACATGGTTTGGTAATGTGTTCCAGACTAAGCAGGTAAGAGGAACATAGGAATATTTCAGGCTGTTTGTTCTTGCAAATGGTTGAACAAACAGTGACGTTAAACCAGATGAGCGGAGATGGGTTGGGGGCTTTGGGATGAAAACATTAATGGGGAAGTCCACAAGTTCATTTATTATATTGTACATTGTGCATAAGCTGAGGTAGAGCCTACGATCCCTAAGAGAGGGGATATTGAAGAGAGAGAGAAGTTCAAGGTAGTCAGCGTTCCACCTCTTAGCGCACATGCGCAGTCCAAATTTTTGTACTTGTTCCACCTTTTTTATGTCTTTTTTCAGGTGTGGGCTCCAAACTTCACACGCATACTCCAGGTGTGGACGAACAAGAGTGCTATATAGGTTTTGCACTTTAGTGCTTTTCATGGCTTTGTTGTTCAATGTACCTTTGTTTGGCCATCATTATCGCTTTGCGACTGCTCCATGGTAAAGCGCATGCGCCCCCCTCACGGTTTCGAGGTGGAGCTGTGGCTGAAACGTTATCGCCTGCCGTTCATACCAAAAAATAGCCCTGCAAAAGTCAAGAGAATGTACAACATACTGTTGGCTAGCATGGCTGCGACACTCGCGGTGCTGTCAGCGGCGCCGTCGTGCAGTCTAAACGAGGACGGCAGGGCTCCCGAGGTGGACGTCCTGATCTTGGGAGCAGGGATCACTGGGGTCACCGCGGCCAGGACACTAGAGGTGAACGGTATCTCAGACTTTCTGGTCCTGGAGGCAGGGGACAGGATAGGAGGTCGGATCAGAGAGGATGATGGCACGGGCCTGGAGCTGGGGGCTAACTGGATCCACGGACTGGACATGAGGGACAAGGAGCACCATCCCATCTGGAGGGAGTGGACTGCCTGTGACAAAGATGGTCCAGATGGCAGTGTCACTCCCTTTGACTTCACTCGGGTCTACAACAGCTCTGGTGGTGAGTATGACATCAAGAATGGGACGTATTTAAAGAGGAAGGCGGTGTTTGATGAGGCGTACAAGAAAGCTTGCCAGTTGGCGATGATCTTGGCTGATGACATTTCCCTCAGGGAGGGCTTCACGAAGGAGGGGTGGACCCCACTCACTCCTCTGGACAACTTCACTGAGTGGGTCAAGTGTGACTTTGACAGTGCCATTACACCAGATGAAGCATCCCTGCTCTTGTACTTCCCTCCCTACACCTATTATGCCTTCTTGGGTCCCGAGCCGAATGCTACGGCTGTGGACTACCTTGTGACTGATAGGAAGGGGTACTCTTTCGTGACAGAGTGCCTTGCGAGGAACTTCAAGAAGGATCGTGTTAAGCTCAACTCTGTTGTGACTGCAGTACATACTGCAGAGGACTGTGTGTGTGCTGCTGTGAATGGATCTTCACGATACTGTGGGAGGTATGGCATTATGACATTTAGTATAGGAACGCTCCATGCAGCAGTTAACAAAGCAGAGAACTCTGTTTGTTTTAAACCACCACTGCCTACCTGGAAACAAGATGCCATCAGGAATGCCACACCAGTCTTCTACGGCAAAGTTCATCTCCTCTTCAACTCTTCGTTTTGGAATGTCACCAAGGAAGACCAGCAGGTGCTGGGATACGTCTCTAACGAGAGGGGCTACTATGCCTCTTACATTATAGACAAATTAACCCCAAATGTCATCACTGTTGATGTTGCTGAGAATCTGGCTGTAAGAGTCTCTAACCAGAGTGAGAAAGAGACCATTGGGGAAGTCATGACTATTCTCAGGAAGATGTTTGGGCCAGAGATACCGGATCCATACAGGGCTGTTGTATCGAAATGGAGCACTGATCCCTTGTTCAGCTGTTCCTACACAGCCTACCGCACAGGAGTCCCAGAAAATGTCTTTGACCTTCTTCTAAAGCCAGTCAATGGCAGTCTGTATTTCGCTGGAGAGAGTATGAACAGCAGTGACTATGGCTACACCCACTCTGGCTATGGCTCTGGTGCCTATGTGGCACACCAGATAGCCCACCTCCTGTCACCTTCACACTGTGAGTATATTTTACTTTCTGCAACAAATCAGTTGTATAGCACTAGTGGTAACCTCACTTACAGCTCTAGCATTATCTTGACACTAATGTGCATTCTTGGGTAAGTGGAACAGTTATATTTTATTGCCAATGTGATTAGCAATCTTTTTGCCTTGCCAGAGGGTAGCTATGTCAGGGCAAGGAGAACTGGATGGTACACTAGGTATAATATATAACATTTTCGTTAGGGAATTGGCTGAGGTATCACAGTTTGGTGATAATGTATTATTTTGTAAAACATTGCACCACTATTTGTAATTGGCGAGCGAAGCGAGCCTACCTAGTCGTTTCAATGCGGGAATTTTCTATTTCATGTGACAGTCATCGGGCACTGGACGTACCGTAATGTTCTATGTGATTCTAAATACGCGCAAAACATGCAAGAAATATTGAACTGCTCATGTCCGCTCGCCAACAATGGGTTGCATTCCTCTAGTATATTAATACATTTGTTGTGTTACGTCTTTATTCTTCCCTCATTACTGCTCCCATTGGCTGTGCATCATTCAAGACCATCATATTGCTGCAGAAATCAGACACAAAGTTAAAGCGGATTAAACTTAGGAGCACTAATGTACTACTGTATATACCTCTGTACTGCTCTCAGTTTTTGTTCCTCTCTCTCCAGCTCTACCTTAGCCACACCTCTCTCCTCTGTCACCATATCACTGACAGGGAGAAATAAGATATTATGTCCCAAATACTCTGCAATCACCCTCCCCAAAGATAGCTAAACAGCAAAACTACTCCTATAGCAATTAACTTATCTTTCGAGAGTTACACATGTGTGGCAGACAATTGTGAAATTCGGAAATTCCCAATTCCCAAAAAATTTTATGTAAGTGTGACAGTGCCTTCCTCATTGGATGTATACACAAGGAAAACCACACATTTAGATGACTAAGTATATACCTGAGGTAACCCGGTGTGCAGTGGTTACACGAGCACTTACATGCTAATTTAAAAAAGGTATATAGGGATGGTATAAAAAGAAAGGGAGACAAGATAAGGATGGGATACATGAAGCATGGTTAACGAATGAGTATATAGCATGACTCTTTTTGCTGTAAGTCCTGAGTATTGTAATGGTGAATGTTTAATACTTTACAATATAAATATAGGGATCGTGTGATGGGGTGGGGGTTGTCAGCATGCTCAAATATGTTCATTAACAATGCTTCATGTATCCCATCCCTATCTTCTTGTCCCCCTTTCTTTTATACCATCCCTATATGCCTCTTTTTTGATTCGCAGGATTTTTAATTTATTGTCTCCACTCATTTTCACATACTAGTATATTATATGTATAATATCTCTGTGAAAGGGAGAAAGCCCTCTTTAAAATTTAAAATAGAGAAAAATGCCTTACAAACACATGGTTGTCATGGAAATTATGTTATATGCATGCGTACCAAGTTTCATCTCCTTTCATTTCATGCGCGCTACGGTTAGCAAGTTTGAGGACTGAAGAAGTAAATGCCTGAAGGCTGAAGCTATAAGCATAACCTCAGAACCTGCCTCTATCCATATCCAACCATCTCCCAACACTAGACTCGATATTGGGAGGTGAATGGTCCTGTGGAAACAGTGCGAAGAAGTTATTCCTAGCCATCGAATATTCCACTTTCCTGCAAGAATGCTCTCACCTTCCACTCTCTTTGGAAAGTTGGCCAAACCCATCCCCACTGGCTAGTAACACGTCGCTGCCCGAGGACGACAAGACTAAACAACATCAGAATTTGCTTGTTAGTCGTGTCAGCAGAGATCCAACCTGCAAACTATGCACCCATAGAGCTTGAAGACCCAGCACACCTCATATGCCGCTGCCCCGCCCTCTCTCCATTTCGATGCTCCCGCCGGACATCGAGTCCATTCCGACCCCCTTGGCCTTTGTCAACACAATACTGGGCCTCCACTGGATAGACCATCTCCCCCTCCAACATTCTATCATCTCTCTTCTGACTGCATTCATGACTGCCGCAGTTCCCTTGTATCTTCTACCATTTAAACGGGCTACTCTCCCAGTGCGGAGGTTAAAAATAAGTGTTTTTTCTGTGTTATAAGCTACAAAGCGAGACACTGTTATGTTATAGGCAAATATATTTGAAGACTATCATTGAGAATAGAGCAGACAAATGGGCAAAATTTGGAGGAATAATGGGTAGTTTTAGCAAGCATAGAGGAATAGAATAACAGGCAAGAAATATTTGTCAAGCCATTGTAGTAACACAGGTTTCATCAGTGGGTTTATCATTACATTGACACCAAACCGTTAAAAGTACATTATTACACTTGGCGCGCATGCACAGTCTTTCTGTCTGTGTGTTTATTTACGACGGCTATTCTGGCAATACAGTTTACAAAGTGCCATATGAGCGATACCAGCAGCCACAAGGGTGTAAAAGGTGATATGACTACGTTAGGGTGATATGGCGTGAAAAAAGGTAAAGGCTTAGCCCGTTCAGTGCACCATGAAGTGGTGAAGTTACTTTGAGGGATGTGTATCCAGTCCAGTGTTGCTGTGAAGGCTACCCACTGATGCAGCAAGCCTGTGTTAGAGCGACAAACTTGCTCAGTCAACGGGTAGACCTGCATGGCATGCCCAGCCATAAAGCATGTGAAAAGTTGCTCACATCAACATACACGTTCCTTATGCCAAGTACTTTAGTACATTTCATCTGTGAGAAACGTATGAGCCACTATATTATTACCAATGCTGACCATTTGTCCAGCATAACCAATATGTCAAAAACAAATAACAAACATTATGCATGTCATACCAACATAAGACATTAATATTTAATGGAAAAAGAGCATTATTTAGAGCTTACAGAAGTATCTGCCACTGTTCCCTGCTGACTCCAATCCTCCCTCTCCCCTCTCCTCCATGTTCCTCCTCCTCCTGTTCATGTTGCTGGAGTTGAGCCAGCTCACTGGTCAGTTGAGCAAGCCTCGTTTTCTTGGTAGCAACTGGTGTAGGAGAGAGAGGCACTACATAAGAACGTGACAATATGACAGAAGGTGAACAGGTTTATGTGAAAGATGAAAGCATAAGCTTGTGTACAAAAGAAAAGGAGGATAAATAATGATAAAAGAGGGAGTGCACGAACATGACAATCTTAAATAGCACCATTCATGCTACCTGTGCACACCTGTTTCTGTCAGTTCCTTAATGTCTTTATCACAGACTTCCATCTCTGATGTCAACTGGGGCTCCGTCTACAAATGAACATAAGTTGAAAAAAATCTCCCTCATGCAGCTTTCAGTCATATGTGAGCAAGAACACCTACATAGTAGGTTCTTGCAGTTCTAAACTTATCAGCTAGTTCAGCCATCTTCACGGAGAACTCAGACCTACATAACACAGGGTCACTTGAACAACACACATGATAGAATTGTATCCTGACATTAGGCAAGAGAAGATAATCTAAGTATAACAAAGGAGAAAGTTAACTCGTATCACCCCGCACGTGCGAGCACAACACAATGGGGTGTCCTACAGTAATTTAGCCCCGAATGGTGTACCGTAAAAAGAGTTGACATCAACCCCTGGCAAACGAAACAGTTGTTGAGATAATTATTGGTTGTAGACATTTAGTTGAAAGTGGTAATACGGCCGCTAAGGTGCTAGCGGAATATTTTTCAACCAGATACATATGGACGCTGACACCAATCATATTACACCGGCTGCACAAACAAAAGTGGGGTAATGAAAGTGCAAGAGGTGCTATGCATCGGCGCGCTGTTTCGTACACACGTGGACAAACACATGCACATACACGCACTCTCAGTCAAATGGGCGTATAGCTTCTTTGGGTTCGCAAAAGTCCTAGACATAGCTCAGTGGCTTTGAGATACCTCAAATTGTAAAGGGGTTCACTGTTACCCTTCAGAAGAGTCTTGCTGGTAAGGTAATGGAATTATGCCATAACTTTAGAATTACAGGTCTTATCTTAAATCCCATAATATTATAGTACTTGAATATTACTTGGGGCCATCCGAAAAAAGAAAGGTATACACACACCCAGACAGTCTACGGTTGCTCATGTGCACCAGGAAACATTAACATACAGAGCAGCTTCTTCCTTAATCTTCTGTTCCTCCATCTTCTCATTGAGGATTCCGATCTCCTCTCTCTTCTCCCTACACCTCACCTCCAGACTGTGGAAACAAGGATTACAATTGTAAAGTACACTGGTATGTAAAGAGGTAAATGATGCGTTAGCATAATATTGGTTGGTTAGAAAAGGCATCAAAACAATACTGCACGGGGTATGTGCTCCCAAGAGCTCCAGTTGACAAGGAATGTACATAGAGACAAAGATAAATGAACCTGGTGGCCTGGGCCTCAGCAAGACTGGCCTGCTCCGAGGCAACCTTCAAGCTCTCCATGGCAGCTGTCTTCCTTATCCCAGCCTCGGAGTGTCGTGGGGTAAGTGACTCCAGTCGTGACTCCAGGTCCATCCTCCGGGAACACTCTTGGGCCAGCCGCTTCTCATTCCTGTCCCTGACTGGAACAGGACGACTACGTATATAGCTACATCAACTTTCTTGGTAAAATATACTCCTGACCATGCTTTAAATCTTGGAGACTGTGTAGGATTACATCAACTTGGAAGTTTTCCATGCTGAGGACCTCTGTTTGATCCCAATCTCTTCAGAGCCCGTTTCTGCTGCAACTTCGTTCCCCCGCGCAACAAAGTGCGCATGTGCGAAGTTCCAAATGCATGCGCTTGCGCGAAAAAAACCACGCCTATTGAGCACGTTTTTCTCAAATCATCTCGCCGCTGTTCGGTGGAGAATAAAGAGGTAAGTTTACGAGCCAAAACACCAGGCCAAAACCACCAACCACCACAACAGGTACAGGTGTTTCGGCTCTGCGATACCTGTCAGCCTCCAGCTCTGGGGGTCTTGAGCATTCAATACCCGACTATACTGCACAGACGCTCCTCTCCGTCTTCAGACGTCACGTAAGTGCTGTAACTGTTGTTCACAGTGACCTGTGGGCAGCCTAAAATAGAGTCCAGCTGGTAAACACTCACCAGACTGTGAACATCTCCCTCAACTCTGTTGACCCAGGAACAGGGGTCCACATCATATCGTATAGGAATCGGGTGAAGAGGAGGCTCATACACATGAAGGGGGTGCACGAGAGTTCACGAGATGTTGATGTCGTTCGTACCTTGATGAGTTAATGTGGAGGGAACGGCATGGCCGCAGACAGCACTTTGCCTCCTCCCCTTCCCCGGAGTCCGGGAGGCTCCCTATTAGATGATGATGGTAATTGGCGATTAAAAAAGACCAGCGCTAGTTCATGGTGCAGAGGAGGAAGCAAGGACAGGTCTTTGGTATGATTAACCGAGATTGTATAATATACAAGGGTGTTTTGAACTTCCTCCAGTGGCCCATCTTCAGACTACTGTGCATGGGCTGGCTGAGCAAATGGTACTTGTAGCAGTGTTGCATGCCTTTTTGTGTCTTTACTGTGTTTGCAGCAAGTATTGCAGCAGTCAGCCCGGCCACACCAACCCCAGCCACCCCCAACAGGACCCGGGGCCGAGGGAGGGGGATCAACATATACTTGAAACTCATTTAACAACTGCATGTACTTATCATCTATTCAAAGTTTCGTTGCGAAGCCGCATGCAAAAAGCGTTACTCCACACTTTCCTCTAGACTGCGCATGTCCAAGTGTAAACAATGCGCATGCGCGAAAAAAAACACGCCCATTGAGCACGTTTTCGTGGATCTCTTAGCTAGACGGACTATTTCTGTGGCGGCGTTGGCTCACCGCTGTTCTCTGTGTGAACAAGTCGGTCAACTGCCGAGAAAAGAGGGAAAAGATGGTAATTTGCTGATGACTGTCTTTGTTTGTCCCTATTCTCACAGTTTATAATGCCTGGAATATAGTATATTCAAGCAGACGGATTAACACCGCCCTTTCCCTTACTTTCTGTGTTATGTACTGTCCTCCCTCTCTCTGTCCAGTCTTACAGCAAGAAGGAGGGACTGCAAGAGGAGTCTGCAGTGCACAAAATTAGGATCACACTCACTAGTCGTAATGTTCGGAGTCTTGAGAAAGGTTGGCGAGTTGTCTAATCCTCTGCTTTTCAATCTCCTTTTTTGTGTAATTATGTGAAATTTAGCTCTGTGGTCCCAGTGTGTTCTACGTATTCATTTGTGTTGTTACTCAAAAAGTGTAGCGCCAGCGCTAGTTTGTGATTACTATGTACACGTCGTATCGTGTATGGATTGCTTTCCCTTCCCTCTCCCCTGTCCACCCTCCTCCTCTCTCTCTCTCTCAGTCTGCAGTGATCTGATCAACAGGGCTAAAGAGTCACAACTACGGGTGAAAGGGCCTATTCGCATGCCCACCAAGACTCTCAGGATCACGTGTCGTAAGACGCCTTGTGGAGAGGGCTCCAAGACTTGGGACAGGTATGTTGAAGTAAATTATCGCCATTTCAGACCAATTTTACTGAAAGTATAATTATTTTGTACATGTCTGTGAGCTCACAATGGGTGATCCTATTTTTACTTGTGAAAAAACCTAGTATTTACATGTCTATGTGATAGAGCTGTGGTTGGTCGTGTGTGTGTCTGTCTGTCCACTGTTTTTCTTGGTGACTGCGGCAGCTGTGTGTGCAAAGCGTGGACACTATGGCTGGCAGTAGCTATACTGGGTAAAACATGAATCTGAACATTACTACGGAAAATGATCAGATGGCCCCGTTGGCGAAGAAGTGTTCATTAATTGGGATTGTGATCTGGGTCCATGAGCTATTGTAAGCAATGTCGGTGACGTCTTTTAGTGTTCTCGTGTTTTCTAGCATGGCACAGAGCCTTGGGACGAGGCTAGCCTCACTCTCTCAATGAATTTGTTCGCCAAGTATCTCTCTCTCTCTCTCTTTCTCTCTTGCCCCCATAGATACGAGATGAGGATCCACAAACGGGTCATAGACCTGCACAGTGCAGCAGAGACTGTCAAACAAATTGTATCCTCACGTTAATAACTACTAGCTACTGTCTATGTATAATATGCAGAGGTCTAAAATGTCTGCATTAGTTTCATGAGTGAATCACACACCACTAGTGAGTATGTTTGTTAGCATTCCTTGACTGATTTGTCACAGACATCGATCAGCATTGAGCCAGGTGTTGAAGTTGAAGTCACTATTGCAGACCCCTGATTGCTGTGGCAGGGATCTCCTCGTTTGATGAACGCTCTCAGTAAAAGACACTAATATCAATCTCTTTAAACAAATTTTAGGGTTGCATGGAGTGTCATATTCTCTAGCAATCCATTCACCACATTGTGCTTTAATTAGAAGGAGGAAGGGAATGTACATGCAACCCCCCATTCTTCATGATCTGTCTTGTGAATGGGGTGTGAGTCTAGGCTATCTGAATGCACGCACAATGCTCAGCCAGTCACAAGTAACTTGTTGGAATCCATAAACATGTCATGCGACTGGGACAAAACAGTTGACTTTGTGCAGATTAACATCGGCTGCCTAAACTTGGGAACTTTAGTGAAGTAGTTTGGGAATGTTATGTGAAGCGTGTATGTTGATGTCTGCTACATCCACATCTTTGTATATATGACAGTATTACTTGATGGCGTACAAAGAGGTAATGGGCACTATATAGGACACAATGATGCAACCAGGTCAGCCCAAAGTGGCCACACAGGGTCTCGGTACACGGGACTAAGTCCAGAGCACTTTCTCAATAAGTGGCCACATCAGGCGCTACGTAGTGGGCTAATACACAAGTAGAGAGTGTGAACATCTGCCTACTTCAGTTTGTCTCTCGTATTCATAATCACTCCAGCTGGGTAAAAAAACATTGATATCTCACTTAATTGTCCATACAATCATACCAAACAGGGTCTAAACAACAAAAGGTTCACAGCTTGCAAGTCACAACTAATCACAACCTCCACAGCTTCCACCTCCACAGCTCCCTCCTCCACAACTGTCGTTATCCCCGCCGCCCCATGTCCCCACATCAGTTGGCTCAAACCCACCAGCAAAATAGTGTGGTGCTGTTGACACTCCCGGTGGACGATGTCGATGAGGTAATCCAGATGTAGTAGAGTTCGTTGCATTCAAGCGAGAAGGTGGCAGGAAGTTTAAAAAGAATCGACGGGCTGGAGCAAGTTTGTCACACAGTGGGGGGCGTCCTTGAATCTTTCTTTTTTTCTGTATGATCCATGTTATAGCGATGCATGGAACCACACAGAATAGTATTAATGCAATTACTCCAACACCCACGGAAATACCAATGATGTCAGCTACAGGGGGCAATGGTAATTTCTAGTGTCTATTGCTGTGGTCCACATACCACACTTTTCTGCTCCTTCATCACTGCCATCACGACAGTCTTCATGTCCATTACACCTCCAACCTCTTGAAATGCACTCTCCATTATCACACTCATATGCATCGTCACTACCAGAGTCCTGGCAGGCTAACGATCCTGAAGGACGAACCGAGCTAGATATTCCTAGGTGCAGCATAGCATGGCTACAGACTTACTGGCCAGAGTAGAAAAGGCAACGAGAAGAAAGATACGATAGACTCTACACGTCGCCATAACAAGTAGCTATTACGTATAGCAGTGTGAAATTGTTGTTATAATGGCAGGTTCAGAGGATAAATTCCGTCCCGGTCAAAGTGCATTGCCCACACGCTGACGTGGAAAAGTATGGGGCGGGCATGCGCATAGTGTGCTGGGAGAGGAGAAGGCGTGGCTCCTCCTGAGTTGCAGGTCCACCACTAATAACCTTTGCCATAAATATAACACTGTAGCGAGTGTGGCTCCTCTGCCCTTACCTCGATGCTCATTTGAGGTTCAGTCCGAAGGGACAGGTTCTTCAGTTGTCGTGTGCTGTCGAGCTCTCAAGCCAGTCCGGACAGATCATCTTTCAGTGTAGCTATTTTGGTGTCTAGGATGCACTGAATTATAGTTTTTGAGGTAGCTAGTAAAAAGGCTGAGGGTAATGTAACCCCACTAGCTAAAAATTGCAGGTTACCTATACACACTATACACTGTGGGTTTGAAACAGTCACTATCCACATGGCGCTATATTATATAACAAACAGTTAAATGACTAATGCAGGTCTGGAAATTATAGACAAGTGTTGATGCATCTGTAATCCATCATCCATCATCATCACCATCGCAGAATCCACCAGTCTTGAGCTCAAACTCCCTTCCTGAGGGAAGGTTGGGTTGGTAGCAAAGTGAGTGGCAGGATATGGAGGAGGACTGCTAGCTATCATTGCTTATTTGTGGAGCTGTTGAGACTGCTGGTGGGCAATACACCCCTGCTGTATTCAGATTCGGCTGGAAGGTTTTAGTGTTTCGAGGCACATTGGGCTGATATAAATAGAGAAGTTGGTATGATGTAGGTTGGTTGTTGGGAGCATGTTTGTTGTCTCTTCGCTGCCGCCAGATCCAGACGCCGACAATTACAATGGGGCAAATGCAGCATATCAGAATTCCAGCTAGGCCACCCACTATACTACCTGCAATGACATCACGTCGGGATAGTATGTATCTATCATAACATCTACATGCCAAATAGAGTACAGCTGTAAAATTAAAAAACCTCCAGACCCCACTAGCAGGGCCAAGGTGAAGTGTTTTTTTTAACACAAGCAGATCCACTATTAGTATTGGCTGACTACTCCATCAACTCATGTGCAAAGTCCATCTACTGAGATAGCTACACACACGTGGACACACAGTATATCAGACCATGGAGCCTGTAACGATAGGAAAGTCATCAACAGATGCTGGCCAATCTGATCATTCAAGAACACCGACCTTCATTTCTGTTCACGTGTTAGGTTTGGTGTTTCATGCTGGCAACATTATTTTGTCACTAGTGACATTGATGATCCTTTGTTGTAACCGAAAGAAGAATAATAAAACGTTCTTGTGTATAACCCTTCTTTAGAAGTAGCTTCTGTTGACTATTGTAAGTGTGATGCAGATATGGCACATTTCATAAAGTCTTTGCTAGTAAGCCCCACCTAGCTGCAATAGTCCAACAAAACTCAGTCTGCCTTGTTCTGTCCCCCTTTTATTATATATACATCATTTTTAGCCAAGGTCCCGCTAAAAGATGCAAATGGCCCTAACAATGTCAATAACTTACAATACACAGCATCAAACATCTGCAGATGATGTCATTGTTAGCTACTATTATTAGTAATTATGGTGCCTTTGTTAGTCATAAACATCAAGCACTTTTTCCCTTGCCATAAATACACTCAGAGAAAGGAATGAAACAAGGGGTGTTTATACAACGTAGTTGCACAAAACTAAAACATCCCTATACTTTTGCACAAAATATAGGGATAGTGTCATGGCTATGCTGTGTAACCACCCCCACCCCCCCTGAAAAAAAACTAGTTGTTACATTCAGTAACAGGCTTGTAGTTCTGTCTGTTGACTATTGTAAGTGTGTGATGCAGATATGGCACATGTATGCGCGGTGCATTTCATCAACAAATCTGAGTCCGACTTGTTCTGTCCCCCTTTAAATTTTACATCATTTTTAGCCAAGGTCCCACTAAAAGATGCAAGTTAACCCAACAAAGTCAATGACCTATACACAGCTAAAACATCTGTAGATGATGTCATTGTTACTATCATTAGTATAACCGGTGTATACCTCTCTAGTCATAAACAATTCTGCCCTGGCCATAAATATACTCAGATAAATGAAGCAGGGGGTGTTTTGACGCCTAAATCTACAAACACCACGATCCCCATTATCTTGTCGTACCTAAAATACAAGGAGATTGTCATGCCTAACTACACCCACCCCCCCCCACCCCCCCCAAGAGAAAATGATCAACACATAGTTCTGTCCGTCCAAGTCGTCAATCTGTCTTTATTATTTCCCATGGGCTTTGGTTATGCATAACCAGTTAAAATCCCCACAAGACATGTACAACATGCAACGTGTGCTACCATCATAGTGTGAAAATAATTAAAACACAACGAGACCTGATTAAATCTGATAGTTCAAGAACACCGACTTTCATTTCTGTTCACGTGTTAGGTTTGGTGTTTCATGCTGGCAATATTATTTTGTCACTAGTCACATTGATGATCCTTTGTTGTAACCGAAAGAAGAATAATTAAAAGTTCATGTGGATGTGTATAACCCTTCTTTATAAATAGTTTCTGTTGCAGACTATTGTAAGTGTGATGCAGATATGGCACATGTACGGTGCATTTCATAAAGTCTTTGCTAGTTAGCCCCACCTAGCTGCAATGGTGCAACAAAACTCACTCCGACTTGTTCTGTCCCCCTTAAATTATATACAAGTAATTCTCCGAATCAAAAGTGTGGAATATAGGGCTGCTTTTTATGGCATCCCTATAATTATTATTCCACACTTTTTTGATTGAAAAATGTTATTGACTTGTCTCCTTTTCTTTTTTACTGCATGCACATGCATTGGGGCATAATGCCCATATAAAAAGTAATGTGTGTTTATTGCCTCAGATTCTTTGTCGTCGTTGACATGTTCTTTCACCACTAAAGTACATAAGTTTACCAAGTTTCATTGTTAGAGGACCCACAAAAATTAGTTTATAAGTTTTTATTGCCTGAGGCTGTTTGTTATTGTTTACACAAACTTGTACTTCATGTTTTGATGAACTCTTATCATGGTTGATTAGTATATATACCAATTTCTTTGTTAAAGGGCCCACCATAAGCAAGTTATGGAACAAACAGCATTTGCAAGTTTTTATTGCCCGAGGCTGTTTGTTGTTGTTTACAAACTTGTAATGTTGACCTTTTGATACTTACGATGGGTTGCATATATGTACAAAGTTTTATCGTTCTGGGTATTTGCTCTACCTAGTTAGCACACTTTATTGGTCTGTATGGTTCGGGGCTAGTTTTTTTTTGTTACAACATTGTTTACAAGCAAATTAAAATGCTCTTGCATGCCGCGTAACGGATTTTGTGAAAAGTTTCATCTCCATAATTATGTTACCTGGTTTTTGAGATGCGCTTGTTGAAATTGAACAACAACAACAAGAAAGAAAACTGACTTTCTTGAATAAATCAATCAGCTACCGATTATGCAATTTACGCCATTTTTGGATATAATTATGCTCTTTATGACGATAGGGTCAGACTGAGATGTCAGAAGTTGGAATCTCAAATGTATGGGCATAATGCAGGAAACCCTGTCATCCCTATATACTAAGTAGTAACGACTTAGTGATACATCATTTTTAGCCAAAAGATGCAAATGGACCCAACAAAGTCAATGACTTGTAATACACTGCAAAAAACATCTGCAGATGACGTCATTGTTGCATCATTAGTAATTGCGGTACCTCTGGTGTCATAAATGTCTACCACTTTTGCCCTGGCCATAAATACACTCAGACAAAGGAATGAAACAAAGGGCGTTTTTATACAACATAGGCCTACTACAGAAACCATCCCTATACTTTTTGTTGTGCACAAAATAAAGGACAGTGTCATGGCTATACTACGTATGTAACCACCCCCGAAAATAATTGTCAACGCGTAGTTCGTAACAGGCTTGTCCGTCCAAGGAGTTTGGTTATGCATGGCCAGTTAAATCCCCGCAAGACATGTACAAGTTGCGGTATGCTTTGCTGATGAGGGCCAACAAGCCCGAAACAGCTGTCCAGAGCTCCGCATCTTTTTTCTCTTGGCATCACATGGTCTATTGTTACATGTAAACTGCGCACGAACGAGACCTGAATACACCGAAATGCAGACACAGTTTTCAACTCTTTGGAGCAAACATAATATATGGGAAAATGTTGCCAGTCGCTCACAAGGGTTGGCTCGCTACCTAGTACCTCTCGCCAACGAGGCCACTTATCGCGGTGCGCATGCGTGCCGACGTCTTGAGGTCAAAATTGTTATACACCAACAGTCGTATAAAAGTAGTTATAGCTCATAGTTATGCGTAGCTGGAGTGTATTAATAATTGCCTTCGCATCTACGGGGAAAAAAGGAAAAATGATGCAACAGGCCTTGGTTCTTACTATTCTTTTGCTACCTGTTCGCGGATCAGAAAGCTGCAAGGTGCGTTTATCTACGTATACACGTATAAAATGCTGTGAGGTCCTCCCCTCTGCTTTTACAGCTGTACGATTATTTGCGAGGGAAGGCTCGTGTAGAACCTGTCAATGGACTATACTATCCGTACCGTTGCAACAATGCGAGCACGTTTTGCCGCATAATACCCGAATTTAGTTGTTCTCCAAATTCACTACACGATTTAACAACTGAAATAAATGGGGATGAGTATCTTCCAGTGATGATTGACCTTAAATATGATGTAAATAATTCGTTACTCCAGGATAACCAAAAACATCGTTAAAAATGACACTATCATCTATTGTGTAAATGGTAACTATTGTTCAGAATGTGGTGATGCACTGGATCCTATAAGAGTTGTTACATACAACATAGGGCCAGCATGCCAACAATCTGTATCCCAGCCAACAGTATCCCTATCGACTGCACTTCCACAGCAGCCTACAGCCTCCCTGCCAACAGCCTCGCAGCAAGCGACACCATCAGTATCTCAAAACGTGCAACCTGTAACAGATGCAGGCCAACTGACCTTCATTTCTGTTCACGTGTTAGGTTTGGTGTTTCATGCTGGCAACATTATTTTGTCACTAGTGACATTGATGATCCTTTGTTGTAACCGAAAGAAGAATAATTAAAAGTTCATGTGGATGTCATCTGAATATTCTTTAGAAGTAGTTTCTGTTGACATTGTAAGTGTGATGCATTCTATCAGATATGGCACATGTACGTACAGTGCATTTCGTCAACAAAACTGAGTCCGACTGGTTCTGTCTCCCTTTAAATTATACACCATTTTTAGCCAAGGACCCACTAAAAGATGCGAGTTGACCCAACCAAGTCAATGACCCCTATACAGCTAAAAGCATCCGTAGATGATGTCATTGTTACTATCATTAGTATAAACGGTACCTCTCTAGTCATAAACATAAAGCAATTCTGCCCTGGCCGTAAATATACTCAGAGAAAGGAATATTCACAAAACATAGGCATACAACCCTACAAACACCATGATCCAAATTATCATTCTAGTGTCTAAAACACAGGGATGATGTCATGCCTAACCACCCCCACCCCCCGAAGACTATGACCAAAACATAATTCTTACAGTTACAGGCTTGTCAGTCCAAGCTGCCAATCTGTTCACATGGGCTTTGGTTATGCATGGCCAGTTAAAAATCCCCTGCAAATTGTACAACACGCAACTGTGCTACCATAATATGACGAGACCTGATTACCGAAATGCGTGTGACAGTTTTCAACTCCTTGGAACACTCTACTTGTACCGTGCTTCTCATAATTCTCATTGTGTGGTATAATATAGATCAATTTTGCATAATATCTCACAATAAAGTATACACAACACTCCCCTATTTATTAATGTTCTCTAAGTTGTGACTTGAAAGGAGGACATCAGGACATTGGAGGGTACTTTGGTGACCTGGTTGGGCTGCTGCCCTCCAGCATACACATCCATGGCTCCAGGTAGGACCTCCCACTGAGTGGTCCACAGCTGCATCTCTCTGGCAGTCACTGTGAACACCAACTGCAACATCAAGTGAATAATGTGTAAGAGGGCGTCGTTCTGTACACATGTTACAAAATGTGCTCAACAAAAGAGATTCAAATCTCACTGGGAGTGACTGCTGGGATTTAATGAAGTTTCTCTGCGCCCCAACCAGTTGTCGGATGGGAGCAATGCCTGCAACGTTCGGACTGGTCCAAGACAAATACACCTGAGTTACCTGCATACACAAAATTATATTACCCACATTATGACATCATGCCACACCTACCTCATAACCATCCAGCTTGCCCACATTTTCAACCGTAACTTTCACTGTTACATTATCCCCAGCCTTCACCTCTGAAGGTGTCACGACCAGGTCAGAGTACATGAATGAGGTATAGGAACTGTGTGCAGGTTGACAGGAATAGCAGTAAGTTAATGATGAAGGTGTGACTCACAGGCCATAGCCAAAAGGGTAGAGTGGAACTCCCTCAAAGTAACGGTAAGTTCTGTTCTTCATCGTGTAGTTAGTGATAGGAGGGACCTACACAATTGTAGAAGGATGAAAATTACCAAAGTAACAAACATTCTCATAATAACCTGATCTAAACTTGCAGGCCAAGTATTGGGTAGACGACCTGAAGGATTGTAAGTCCCATTAAGGACGTTTGAGAGGGCAACCCCTGCCGTTTGAGCTGGGAAGAACTGCTCCACTATAGCCATGACAGGTCACTGCTCTTGGCCCAGGACACGTCGAGTGGACCAGCATTGTACAGAACTAGTACTACAGGACCTGAGATGCATTACAGAATGTCTGATCGGGACAAGTGTTGTATCCATGAAAAGTATAGACACACCTTTTGCAGAGTTGGCAGCATCTTGCAGCAGTTTTAGTTGCTGTCCTGGAAGGTTTATATCAGCCCTGTCGTTTCCCTCACTCTCCAGTACTTTCCCTGTATAGACAATACAGTACGTTGTGTGTGCCTGATATACAACTGGTATATTATACTAGGTTCATATACCTGTTCCAAGGGTAACAATAGCCAGTTCAACATCACTACAGGCTTTGACAACTGAGGAGTCGTAGGAACTACAGAAGAGATGTCGCTATTCTCAACAACTGCACATGGAAAAGGCAATAGGATATACATTCCTGAGTATGCAGCATAAGCACCCTCGATCCTGTCCTACTCTTGGTTATATTACACAACCTCTCATATGTGCAACTGTGCTCTATTATTGGCTTTAGCAGTGAATGTATGAAACAGAGGCATAAGTATCATCATACACCTCAGGTAGCTATATACCATTTCCCAGTGCATGGAGACACCTGCTTGAGAATATGTAATACTACCTCTGTGGTCAAAACTGTCTTTCTGGCTATAATACACCTCCATTATTATGCATAGCTTATAGTAACCTCTGCTCTTCAAACATTCATTCCTCACTTGCACTTGGGTCCATCTGTACAGCCTTCCGCATAGCTCAGGGCTTTGGATATCATGGCATCCTGTAAACCATCTTGAACGGTGACAATGTACTCTGGCTGCAAGATCAATACAGCATTCGCTTGTAATGGCCTGTTAGTTACTTGGTTAGCTCACCATTAGTGTTGGAGAATAGTCCCCAAAGTATAAAGACGGGTCATTTATGAATGGCCCCACAACCTACAGTAGTGTAGAATGGGGCAAAATTAGCACACACATGGAGGGGACAGGCAATTGATTGGTCTCATAGAGTAGGCAGGTGAGCCTATCTGCGACAAGAGGGGTCTGGGGCAAAGTCATCTTGGAAAATTTTCTAATATGAAAAAATAATTCTTGGGTCCTGTTTCATTATACACTGGCCTGTCGTTCCAAGAGTGAGCATGTATCAACAGTACTGCTAAAAGAAACCACAAATTATTCCAGAAGGCAGTATTGCATGCTTCATGGATATTGGCGTCAAAAAACGGTGGTCACCACTTAATACAAATCATGGTTTACTGTCTTTCTATTGTCTAGTCTAACCCCTCGTCCTGTTCCCATAGCACACTGTGAATTGAATTATACATTCGTTTCCACTGTTTCTTTTATGAGCTTGCTTAAAAACCTTGATTTATATGAAGAAAGAACCAAAGGGATATGCAACGTATATAGGTCTATTACTTGATGTCAAACCCAAGTGGATGCGAGGACAAAAAGTGTTCTGGGGAATTTCTCAGTGGTGACTCCCATACTTCCCACACTATAGCCCTGCCAATGCCAAACAGAACACTAAAATAGACTCACACAGGCAGAATTGACAGGGGTAGTTATTGGCAGGGTCATCCCCATTGTCATATCATTCTTCATCAACACTGCACTCGCCATGGCAGCTTCCAGTGATAGTTGCCGATGTGCCTCACTCTGAACATAGTCCTCTACTTTTAACCTGATGACACATAGTACAAATGGAAGCTGCTTTACCAGCAAGCAACATAAATAATCAAGCAATACAGCAAGGTGACATGTCAAACTCAGAACAAAAAGGCTGTGTCACATGATGTACAACCTACAGAGCTATTATACAAGTGGAAAAATCATTTCTTCAAAATGAAGGGGGGATATAGGGATGGCTTGAAGCACCAAAAAGGAAGAAACAAGGGGTCATTACACAGCAAAGATGCACAAAGCTACATGACACCATCCCTATATCTTTGTCTCATATTAAACTTTGCCTATAAACAATAAAACAAAGATATAGGGATGGTGTCATGTAGCTTTGTGCATCTTTGCTGTGTAATGACCCCTTGTTTCTTCCTTTTTGGTGCTTCAAGCCATCCCTATATCCCCCTTTCATTTTGAAGAAATGATTTTTCCACTTGTTTCCACTATTTTTAACTGCTTATGACAACACTGCATTTTCAGTCACCTGATGTTCATGGGTATGTTGTAGAGATAACTGATGAAAGCAGTAGCTAATGGGCTGCTGCGCCTGAAGCGGGGTGTACGCAGTGTCTCCAACAAGGACGCAATTAGGTTGTGGCACACGGTGGCGATTTCATGGGCAGGCTTCAGTAATCAGATTACTATTAGCTACCCGGGGACAAAGAATGAAGGCTAATTTGTACGCCCGGTAAGGCTCGCGTAACCCGGCGCAGACTGCCACGTGCAAATCAACAGCTAAAAGCAAGCTAGCCAGTTATAAATGTGTATACTGACTTACAGAAGGCGCTGGAGGATGAGAGGTCCTCTGCAGGCATCCTGGCTTTTTCTCGTGGAGCGAGACTATGTAATGCGCGCGCACCGCATTGGAAACGCCCTCCTCGGCGCATGCGGCTCACTGATGCTGAGTTAGCAGCAAAATGGCGTTGTTCAGTGACTACCGTGGAGGAGCTCAACGATCTACCGTAGTGACTTGCGGCAAGAAAGAGACGATCGCTTGATGTCCGTGCACACCTCTGGCGAATCTGGAAACGTTTGATGGAAAAATCAGCACTTCAACTATTTTCGGTAACGAGATAGCGGGTTTACTGAAGAAGAAACCGGAAGATGAAGAATATGATGATGATGATGATGATGATGACACGAAAATCGTGAAATCGCGTAAGAGCCAATTCTCTCGTGGGGAACTGAGGGCACGTAGGAAGTCTTGGGGAGTATGTATAGCTAGGTATTGGCCTGTAGACTATTGCTAGTGATTTTCAAGCAATGGTGAGTCTTTCTCGCCAAGTTTTGAGGCGTTTTGTACGCGGATCACGTGAGATTTCACCCGCGTCATCCCTATATAGAGACGCTCTGATACTACATGGTCACGGCTAAACAAACTCACTGTAAGCTTTTTTAAACCACATTCCACACAATGAGAGTGTACTTATGTACTTTGTGTAAGGGTTCATTTCAGGAGGGTCAAACTCTCCGAGTCTCATGCGCACCAGAAACAGTCTGCTGACTGCATCGATCACAGTAGCATCAGTAATTAGACCCTGTTGGATAGAAAACAGCTACTATAGTTGTACTTCAGGGTGTATGTGTGTTATTCCAGAGGTGTGTCAATCTATGGATAGTGCAGACACACCTCAGAGACAGCTTGCCCTATGCTGGCAAACACATTGTCTTCTTCGTTTGCATCTTCCAGACAAGTCCCAGCATTCACAGCCACTTCTGCTGTGGCCACTGTCGAGTTTGTGTAGTGGTGAGCACTCATTATGTTCTCTAAAAAAACGTAAGGTGTGAGGAAGGATGGAGAGAGAAGAATATTAGAGAGAAGTTTATGGAATATGAACAATGTGAGTGAGCACGTGGGCAAGCTGTCCCTTTATGGTCACATGACATCACATGACCTCTACTGTGTTACTCACAGCAGCCACAGCTTCTCCAATGTGCTTCTAAGCTAACTCCAGCATTGACACAAGCACTTGCAGTGTCAATGTAGCCAGTGGTATAATTGTGACCTAGCCACACCAGCTCTACATTCAACAGAACAAGACTTGACGTACAGTACAAATTATAACGTACCGATAGCTCCTTGGTCACTGACAACATAGCCTGCAATCACAACGCTACATTAACATCTGGTAAATATCATTATAAACTTCACCTACCTTTGAATCCCCACTCATTTCTCAGGATATCTGTGAGTAGCTCCTTGTTAGCACAAGCAGGGACCCCATTGATGCTGTAGAATATCATTAATGAAGTTCACTCATACTTGACTTTGATGAGTGGGTATGGATAAATGAAAACAGGAAGCAGGCAGAAAAGCACTACAGGATCAAAGAGAAAAGTTAAGGTGGTGATTACTGCAAGTGATCAGCAGTGTAATTGCCTCAAGTATCACACAGTGCTAGGTCTTATTGACAGGAACATTATAAGGTACCGCATCATACAAATCGAGGCCCAGGAATGACGCTAGTTGGCAATATTAGAAGGTTACGGATGTGTACGAGTATTAATGAGCTAGTCGAAGAAGCATGTAACTCTGATTAGCAGCATACCTATTATAGCTGCACATTACACTCCAGGCTCCAGCCTCAATACAAGCCCTGAACTGAGGGAGGAATGTCATACGCCAGTCCCTGGTGGTCACCTGCAATGTGGGGTTTCATGAAAGATAGAACAAAGCTTCGTAATATACTCCTCACGTTGGCATTAAATGAGAAACGAGAGACAGGAATGTTTTCCGGTCCTCCGTGGACATCAAAATGCTTGCACCCAGCATTGGCCTCCACATACCGAGAGTTATCTATACATCAGTAGTTATTTTAGGTAACCATGCTGCAGAGATAGACTTACTTCCCTGTAGGCCAGTGACGTATGCCCGGCCCAGGTATCCTGACAGCCAGGGATCCTCTCCATATGTCTCCTGAAATACAGATAATGGTGTAAAGTTGAGACAGTGGGTCCACTTCTTCTCTCAGTCTCACCTGATTCCGACCCCATCTTGGATCTCTCAGAATATTGATGACTGGACTCCAACAGCTGAGCCCAGTGTGGAAGCTATAGTCACCGTGTGCTGTATAGTTGTTGTTCTGTACATTTTAGTGAAGGTATTCCCCAATGTAGTAGTTATTTTTTGATTCTCATACCTTGGCTCTGACTTCATTACTAACTGCTCGGGCAAATGTATACAGCAACTGATAATCGAATGCAGCTGCCTAAATGTGGAAATGACAAACATGAGCATCACATATTCGATGCCTCTCTTCCTAGCTGACCAGACCAATGGACTCAGGGAAGGAAGTAGCAGGCCCAGCATCCACATCCCCACTGATGCACTCAGTCCCCCACTGGTATGGATTTATGCCCAGCTCTGGTATGGCTGGGGCAGGACCTGTATAACAGCAAGCCATATGTTCGCTAGTCAGTGCATACACTTGAAACACATGATATAGCTACATATGCATAGCACCCACTGCTTGCATGCAGCAGTGTGTAGTTTCGCGGCACCAGCCCCTCCTCGGAGTCAACCCCTCAAGATCGATGGGAGAGAAGCTGGCTCCGCGAGACTATGTGTGCATCCTGTCTGATGTCATTCCATGCTGACCGTTGTTATTAGCTCCCCCATGGGACATTTGAGCAACCATCTCCTCCAGTGTTAGTCTCCCTACCAGGTCCTACATACAGAAGAGACCCTTGACATTCAGCATCATGCACGTATGAAACCCACTTTGACACGTTCGTCGAAAGGCAGAGATGTGTTCCTGAATGGAAATTCCTGGCTGCTAGCCATCGGCGTTGCGCACAAGCAAACTGCGACTGCAAACAGGAGAGCCATTTTCCTCACCCCAGACCTGCACACCGCGACCGATCCGAATGGCCGCAGTCACGCGACCACAAAATCAAATTCATGGTAGCGCACACTCTGTAACACGTAAAATAGGGTGTCCTCTACATTGCTCTGGGCATGGGCATGCTGTACGTAGTTAGCCCGAGTGTTAGGTGCAGTAACGAGCGTAAGACAAGGACTGAAATAATTGTGACCGTGCACGCAAAAACCAACCTTACGCCGCAATGTTAAATTTTCGAGTACGCGTGAATATAACGCCTACACCAACCGGTATAAGCAAAACCACTTTTTTGCCTATAAGTAAAGCTTCCCATCAGAGCTACCTACTGGTACCTTTCCTGCCTCCTAGGACGCCTTCTCGCCAGAAAAGAAGCTATTTCTCTGTAGCGGTAGTCAGTGAACGGAGCAGCGGACACGGACGCTCACGGCGGGGGTGTACGGAAATCTTGTACACACCCTTTTCCCCCGCGAAACTAGGCAACAAAGATGCAGCGACTACCAGTCACTTTCCTTTACTCCGCACACGGGCACAAAGGTTCCTGAAGAACTTGGAGTGGTTGCTGAGTAGATCATCTAAGCTGCCGCCTTTAAAAATACGACAGCCTAGTGTGCACGGCTCAAGAAAGACGGGAGCCGGCAGCTGGCTAAGCTGGCCTGTTAACCGTCTAGTTTAGAATCTAGAACCAGCATCCATAGCACACACGGGCCGGAGTTTTCACGGTAAACACGATCGAACGACCTGTCTAACATGAGTGACAGCACGACGGTACATGCAGCTGACGCAAAGAAAGTCAAAGCGATACCTCACTTACACCAAGATCTGCCACGACAGGTTCGGCCTGAAGTCTATTCAGCCCGGTAGGGCCGATAGAAGCGTTCGTCTGCTGTCAAACTGCTCGCTTACACCGCATCTCTCTGGTTGCTAAAAAGTTCCCGGGAAAAATCCCGTAACGTGACGTCATATTCGTGGGCGGACAAGAATACGGAAACATTTCATTCCACTATTTCGCGTTTTGTATAACCCCGCGTGGCCCGCGTTTGAAAAATCGTAACTTTTGAAGGGTTTTCCCCAAAAATATACAAAAATAAGCGGTGTATCAAGCACATTTCAAGCTTTACAACGATACAAAAAACGCTACTTCACAAAAAATGCGGCGTAAGGTTGGTTTTTGCGTGCACGGTCACAATTAGCTACTCATTACAAAACGCTCGCTCAAGGTTCCGGAGAATTGTGCGTGGGCGTACGTTTCAGATATTTTTTCAATGGCACAGCAAAAACGCTAGTGAATTTAGGTATATTTCTCGGATTTTTCCTACCTTGTTTTCCAAACTCATTAGTATATTCATATTCCTCCTCCATACATTCTCTATGGGAGATAAAACCCATGCGCGGCGTTCAAGCGCGCGCCGACACGCTACTGGTCCTTGAACCGCGCAAAAAAATTTGAATATCACAAACTATTAATTAATGAAACTCTCAATCAATCTCATTATTAGTAGCATACCATGGAACAGTCTGACATTATATGACACAATGGCAGCTTTTAACTTGTGGAAACGATTCAAGATCCAGAATCTCCACGACTGTATTATAGACAATAAGGTCATAGTGTTCAATCTTGTCTGGAATGCAGCAAATTCTTGGAGTAGGTCCACTAGTTTCATCAATGAAGGAGCTAAAAAACTGATATCTTTCTGGTCTGTTTATGTCGAGTGCCACTGGATTGCAAGTTCCAAAACAAAAGGTTATATTCAATCCACGACTATTTGGATATATGGCCACAATTGGGTGAGGGAAAATTGGTAAGCCGGCGGCATAGTTAAGAAAAACAGACTGCACAGAGCAATTCACCCCATTCTCTGTGTATTCACTCAACAGAGTCTTATTCCCACTAGCGGCTGATCGTTTTTCGACAGTTTTTGATACGAGCCCGGTAATGCCAATTCCTCCATGTTTTTTGAAGTCGTAGATAACTAGAAGAGCATCAAGTGATGAGCAGTTTCCTGTAGTTTGAGCAGAGAAAATGCACTTTTCCGTGTATGGGCAGGGTAAGGAACTCATGTCAATACTTATTTCCAGCCATTCCTTTGTCTCGTCTAGCTCTGTGACAGTGTAGGACTGGAACAGGTTATTGGTGGTGGAGTTCTCACACCTCTTATAGAGTTGAATAACGTTCCCTTCAACTATTGCACTAGAGTTGCTGGCATGAAACACAATGGATCCACTACTCGAGGGTCTAGAGACTGCTTCAGGTAATAGCTCCATTTCAAAGTACAAATGACTACTGCCTAAAACTGGACATAGGTATGAACAGACTTTATAACATGGCATTGTTAGCTACTTACCTCTCTTTCCAGCAACACTTCGAACAATATTTGAAAATTCGTTCTGATTTGGTGAAAGGTTAAGTTCATCATTGACCATTGGGCGAAGTTTGGCCGAACGTAGAAGTAATTTGAGATAATCAACTTGAACATCTAGCTTATATGGGGCAGTCGCAGCAAGGGTACAACTGATGGCAAGAAAGATGAAAAACAATAGGTTCTTCATGTTGATCCTTACACCTAGATCCTTGTGTGGGACCAAAGTGAGCACATGCAGGGTTTAAATAGTGGAGAATAGCTGTTAAAACCTATTTCACTGGTTTTGAGATCATTTGTCTCTTTGAGTTAGAGAGTGATAGTTTAGTGCGCCTTAGTGAACTAATGGGTTTAGAGAGAGGTATTGTAGTGCAGTGAGGCCTACAATGTACACATTCCAAAGGTGTTGCACAAGCTGTAGATATCACTTAGACACGTAAAGTAACCTCATGGTTACATAACTGAAAGTATGTACCGTAAACTCAACAAGTGGAAAAAGAAATGCAGGGATCCATCATGTCAAGCATCATAATGTAAGATGATGCATGAGTATACTATGACAAAAGATTGCAAATTGATTGCAAAACTACACGACACCATCCCTTTATCTTGTCTGCTATTTTTTCCAATGGGACAATAATTATATAGGGATGGTGTCATGTTGCTTTGTTTATCTTTACTGTTTAATGACCTTTTTTCCTCATTTTTGGTGCTTAGAGCCATCCCTATCCCCCTTTATATTGTTTTCTACTTTGATAGCTACACAACTGACCATAGCTGGCAGAGAATCTGTTTCCCTTCATATGCCTTATCTGTGAACAAATGCACGAGACTTATAATTATATGAAGTCTTAGAGTTCAATTACTATGTGATCATCCCTTTGTAGGCTGGGACAAAACAGCTTAGGATATATGGTGGCCCATTAGTGCAAATTCCAGTGTTTTGCTCCCAAAACATGTGGAGCAAAACACTGGGAGCTGGGAGCAAAAATTGCACTAATGGACCACCATAAGGAAACCATCACAAATTGGTAGGCATGGTGGTGTTGCACCCCTTTCACTGTATTCCAGTTCCTCGCTTTCATGGCAAAACAACCCTACATTGCACTTAGAGAAAGTAAACTTTCATGTTTTCCTGGCATGTAATAGCTACCATTATGTTTTGGAATTTCTATCGAAACGAAATGCACAAAGTTTATTGTGAGCATTTCAGAGTAGCTAGACCCAAACCAAAATAGATACACCTACAACTGAATCATGGCGACTAGTGCTAGAGGAGAAAGAGTCGGCTTATTGGAATCTTGTTCAAGTGGCAATCACAAACAGACGGAACGAATTCAGGAGACCCACCGATGCGGAGTCAAATATGCCAATCGAAGACAGAGGAAGTGGAGATTTCGTAGCTTTGGCTCCAGTAGCCTTCTACTCATCTTGACCTGGGAATTTATCACCAGCTGTTCATTATGTTTCACACTGGTAACAATGCAGAATAATGTGAAGTTGAATTTGGATCCAGAAGAGAAGGATAATCTAGCCTCTCTGTGGGTTGTTCAGGGAACATATGTCCTCAGTATTTCAGCACTGTCTTGTATCTTTATTCCAATAGTGAGTCTATTAGCAGAGGTAACTATCGGTCGATACAAATTTGTTAGCTTCTCTCTGAGAGCTATTTGGATACTGTCAGTTGTTGCCGCTGTTGTGTCACTATGTGAAAAGAGCCTACATGTGGAGAATTCTACTACACTGTACGTTTTGGAACTATCTTTGTTGGTATCTCAATACCCAATTCTAGCGTCATTTTTAGCAAGTGCCGTTCCACTAGCATTAGACCAGATTACAGGTGGAACAGATGCTAACATTTCTTCCTTTATACAATGGCATGTCTGGGTATTGTTTAGTGGAATAGCTATCCCGGTCATAATTGGATCAGTCTTCTACAACTGCACATGTTTGCAAGCAAGTGAAGTAGGTATGATTTTGTCACTGCTGCCAGTCCTACTGCTCTCTGTGGGACTCATTTTGGACTTTCATTTCAACTACAAACTGGTGAAAGAGCCAATAACCGTCAATCCTGTTAGTATCATTTTCAAAGTCTTGAAATATGCAGCAAAGCACAAGTCCCCGGTTCAGAGAAGTGCTTTCACATACTGTGAAAATGAGCAGCCAACCAGACTGGACTTTGGCAAGTGTAAATATGGTGGACCTTTTACCACAGAGCAAGTGGAAGATGTAAAGACATTCTGGAGAGTTCTAGTGGTCATTCTTGTGATTTGTATTTCCCTTGTTCAACTTATAGCACAAGTAGAATCGGTACCAGACATGGAGAAAAGCTACGGCTTATTACAATCACAATCCAATTGCATTCATGAAGTCTCACGTGCAATCCTATCACCTCATTTTCTAATAATAATCTTAATTCCACTGAATGAGCTACTCATCTACCCATGTCTGAGAAACCGAGGTCCCAGCATCCTCCAGTCTGCTGGAATTGGAGCTGCAGCACTCATTGCTTCTTCATTGTATGGTTTAGCGGCAGAGACAATGCAGCACGTGTTTGGTACTACTCAATGTTTGTTTGCACAGAACAGTAGTGATGCAAGTAAAACAGGAATCTTCGTAGCTCTTCCTTTCAACTTCATGTTGGGATTCGCAACTATAGTGCTGCTTAAATCTGGCATTGAGTTTGTATGTGCACAGGCACCGTACAATATGAAGGGCCTTCTGATAGGACTTTACTACACAGTAGGAACTTTCTTTCTTGCTTTTGGAACAATGACGTATTTGGCATGGAGCAACCAATGGTTTGCTATACTGCAGACTAGTACATGCGGTATCTGGTTCTACTTGACTACATTGGTATTGGCAGTGGTGTCTTCTGCTCTACTGTGCTTGGTCATAAGATGGTATAAGACAAGAGAGAGAGATGAGATAATGACGTCTCAAAATTTAGTGGAGGAAGTATATCACAAGTACCAGGAACAAGAATCATGATTTATACTGTAAGACTGTATTTTAGCGGTTTTTAAAAATTTCATTACCCAGCAGAGTGGGTGGTTACAGGCAGGGACACCCAGATTTGTCTGACATGCCTAGAAAAACTTCATAAAGGGGGACGTGTGTCTGTGTCAAGTCATGAAAACATGGCGGTTCACTTTAAAAGCAATTACTGGGTGCCATCTGGAGCTGTAATAAAACCTGGGTGTTAGTTTGTGTAGCTACACGCGGATACTTTTTGTCAGGTCCTACCATTCATTGCATGATAGCTTTAATGGAATGAAGAGGGCACACATAGATATCATTGTGGCATCAATAGCTCTCAAAATATAGCACAAAAGGAAACTTTTGTCAACATGTGGTTGTTGGATGTAGTTTTAGACTTATTTTCTGTATTGTGGTGTAGCGTAAACATTAACTGTTGCTCTTTCTCTGTAGTTAACTGAAAGTGTTGGTTGTCTCAACATCAACAAAAACCAAGCGGACACTATACATTCCTACAGTTAATTTATTCAAGCCAGAGATAAAGTAGCATGAGGCACCCCTTCCTTATATTATGCAGAGTTTACTTGAACTAAGAAGAGGTCCAGCTCACGAATGGAGGCGATGCAATCCGGAGGCTAGAGACAACATCTATGAGCCACCATCAGCACCCACGGTCAATGTCTGACCTGTGGTCCTCCACAGCACTCTATTCTGCTTAATAGCTACCAGCTTGTTGCCTTCTACCCTGTATTTAGATGGAGGACAGGTTCAGGCAGGAGGTAACATTCACTTGTCTGCAGGATAGGTTGTTCTACTCAATGTCTCCACATTTCATAGCTTCTGGTGTTTTAGTGTGCAGTTATGCTTTTAAGTATGTACTTACACAGACACCTTGACCTTCTATTATAGCTCACTGTGCCTTGCAATGCTCAGAGTTGCCACGTAATGTTTGGCTCTTGAACGACAGGGAGGTACAGCTTACCACTGTAACAACTACATGAGTCACTGAAAACTCTCTGTCGAAGCAGGAACGAGCTCAAGCTGTACACAACTACAAAGCCACTCCAACCATCATTTTCTCGTCTTCTTTGGAGAAGTATTACTTAAACACACTAACAGCACAAGTCGGCACAAGTTGGAAATCAATCACCAATCTCTGGAGAGTGCCACTATGCAGCGTGAACTTCACTATGAACTCAGACACTATGCACAAGAATGCAGACTAACTTCCAAAGGGCTCCTTAGAGCGCAAGTGGTAACACTCAATGAGCCAAGGTCATGCACCTGGGCCCTATCATGCATAATACAATCTGAGGCACCTCTCTGGTCATGCTTATGACATGGTGAGTGAGTGGTGAGCCTTTCTTCATAGAGAAGGTGGAGGCGACTACACAAACCAGGCACACATGCATCCACCGGGTTCTCCAGTGCATGACAAATAATTAATACTGGCTGCATTTGCCCTTACAGGGAGAGCTGGCACTGTCATGCTAATGGCTGATATAATGCACACCTAGCGTAGCATTATTGTTTGCTCACAGAGAGAGGGTGCTCACTGACAGAATTTATCCTCGGCGCGCATGCGCAGCGAGGGTACCGGTCGGTGGTTAACCGGTTGGGTCTGTCTACTGTGTCTGTGTTACTCTGCATCGTTCGTCTCACAAAGGGTATGACCTACTTAACGGGAAATGAAGGTCAGAAAGTTCGAACGGTTTTCTCTGAAACTGCTCCGTTGCAAAGCTAGAGCGCGAAAAAGCCAATATGCAAATAAAATAAAACCCAGTCCATCAATAATAATAGTGGTACGGCGCATGCGTTTACTTATGCGTGCGCGTCACAATGCATAGGCAATAGACAGTACTCCGCAGTCAGAGCCATTGGACTGCTTTTCTACATCCATCATTACTATTTTTCAGCTCGGGCAAATTGCTATACACCATAGTTGCAATCAGGTGCACCAAATCCTTTGAGGCAGTCTTATATATACAGACTGTTGTATATACACATGCACCACTCCACTCTCACACCCCACCGTGAATACCACACACCAGTGGTTGTTCCGGACGTGCACAATCCGAAAAAAAAACTCCAGAATGGTCCTGAAATGCAATTACCTTTTGCAGTACAGGAAGTTGCATTCCAGCCATGCTGGGATAGAACTGTAGTAAGAGCATCTGGGCATGAAAAGCACTGAAGTGCAAACCCTTGGTGCATTGGACATAATAATTATTATAGTGGCTTGAACCCCTGTGACGTTAGAATTAATTGATCACAGTCGTAGGATCAGGCAGCATCTGGCCACCTGCCTGGAGAATTGCCAGGTTCCACGTTTCCCCACAGTGGGTGAGCGAAAGTGTCATGAGAAAGCCAAAGACGGTAGAGCTTCATTGTTCATGTCGTATGCCAGAAGAAGAGGGGTATCAGATGGCAATGTGTGATTCCATGCCATGTCTGGTACCACTGTCACTGCATGGATATTCCCAGTGAGGTATGTATTTTGGTGAGTCTTAGGTTCACTGGTGTAAGCGGTGTACTCAACTAGCAAGAACTGCTGGAGAATCAGCAATTTGAAGTCGTTTTCTATGTGGTATCCAAACTTACAGTTAGTTACTGTTTGTATAATTATAGGTCCCCCATGCATTGCAGTTCGAAACTCGTACCACCGTACGCACCAGTGTTTTGCATGAATGAAAACAACGAAGTTTTTCTTCATGCTTGGGTAGCTATGTAGCGATTGTCATGCACTTGCGAGTTGTAGCTAGGAGTCTCTCCATGTTCATGTATGTTTGAACATGTGCAAGCCTCTTGGGTATGTTTGCACCCAAGTGCTAAGAGTTTCTCCATGCACGGGTTTATTGTGTGATTTCTCAATGTATGTATACAAGCAGCATCAATAAGTGTAGCCAATTTTTGTATGACATAATGCAAACTGGGGGCATGTGTATAGTTAACCAAAATATTAATGTTTGTGGGCAAGCTCTTAGGGCATGGGAATGGAAATTAAGATTCTAAGCTAGCTAGCTAAAGTCTATTCGCGTTGTGTAAGCATAGCATCAGAACGGAAAAGTTGCGAGGACTCCAATGGTGTTAGCGGTTTTAGAATTGGATGTAAAATAGAGGAGTTATGACAATTTTTGAGGGCTCAGGTGAAGTCAAATACATAGACTTAGCAACAATGAAATAACATGGTAGCTAATGGGATCTGCGTTAGTAAGTCACCTGTTTGCAACCTGCTTCAAAGTATGGTGTTGCATTTGTTGCTCGGATAGATCTCAGCAGAATAAAATAAATTATGGATGTAGCATCAAATCAGGTATTATGAAAATAACTGCATTATTGTCCAGAGATAAGTTGAAACCACTGCTGTAGTGCCTTGCCCAAAACGATAGGCAGACTCTTTATGTCTTGCAGAACGATGTAGAACGAGAAAGGGAAAGTTTCCAAGTATGACCTGATGACTGGTGCCTGAAAAAAATCGTGCTGACACCAACAGATTATTATGACTGTGCAAAAATCTTACTTTGCCAGGAGTGAATGAGGGAACCTTTATATTCAGCACAGATTCCTACGAAGTTGGGAAGAGCTAAGTGATAAGCGGCAAAACCTGTCAACCTAATTTGCCTCATGCTATAGCCAGTGTGTGTACACTAATATTCGGTTCTGATCTCCTCTAAAAGGATTTCGAGCTACTTTGCCTGCCTTTTTCTGTAAGTGCTCTTGCTCGCATAGGCGGTAAACAGAGTTCACTGTTTGGTCCTTCACCTTTTCACAAAGCAAACTCTCTATCATGCATAGCTGATCTGCTTGATCAGCACAGGAAGCGGTTAATATACGAGTTCTCCCTTACAGTTGAATGATGCACCAGAAATGTAAACATCATCTAATGGGTTCAACAGAAGACAACAGTAGAGAGTATGTCAATAATGCTCATTTGCGCTAGTTAACCTTCAATCATGGTCATCTGTGCATGGTGGAGGAATAGGAGTAATATAAGTACGTAAGCGCTGATACGGACAGCTTTCCTCACTGGGCAGAGGGCAAATAACTGTGATTTAGTGCTAACTACTGATGCACCTAGGTATACTTACAAGGGCGTGAGATAAGGGGTAGCCGGACTGTATGACAAACTAAGCCCATGTTACACAATGTTAAAATGTCTACATGTGATGTGGCCAGGGCCCATGTTTTCCCATATAGCTCAGATTTTCAAAATCACTTTTGTTGTACTGTTTGATGTGCAGCATTGTATAGAGATAGACGGGTGTCACTATTTGTAGCCTGTAACAAACCTTAGACAATGTGTCAAGAATGACAAACACTGTGAGCACCCCCAATTCATTCAAGCTTCGCAGAGCAACTTCTACTACCTGTGACCAAAAGAAGAATAGAAGTTATATCATGAGAAGGATAAGCTTAAACCTAGGGATTCATATATTTTGTGTGTAAAGTTCGTTGTTCTTTTGCATCTGACCAGTGTATGCACATTTTCTGTTGCCCTGTGCATGTGTAAATACTTTGCGCCTGCCATGGCCAGACCTTTAGTGTTTTGATTACTGTAGTGCAGTGAACCACCCTCTATAAGTATTGACATACAGTTGTTCCATCAGCAAACACCCCTCGGCCATCAGAGAGTACCAAGAGAAGCTGACTAGTGAGTGGTGAAGAGTGGCCTCTTCTTGTACGCAACGACTGAGTGAACAGTGTGTTGGACACCTGGAGCATCTACAGTGACAGGGAACTAACACTAAGAACCTATCCACCATTTATGCATATATAGCTATCAGTAGAACTGTTTTGCTCCTACTAAGTTATGTCCTTAGTATAAAGTGTTCACAAACATAGACATATTATTCTGCCATCCTTTAAAAATACCTCAGCAAAATTGGTCCTAGACTGTGAGAAAGACAGTTGCTGCAAAACATGTGCTCCAGTACCAACAGTAAAAGGCTCATCAAATCCATGTAGCAACTCTGCACTCTCTCCAAACCTGCACAAAAAAGATGAACACATGTCACTCCACACTTCGTTGTATATACTGAGTAGCAATGTTTCACCTCAGTATTCCAATTTGTCCACATTCCAGTCGGTAGAGAGCAGAGCTGATCATAGCCAGACTCTCATATGCCATCTACGTACATACGGGTAAATAAACACGATTTCACAAAAACTCTCTTAATTGTACCTGATTGCACTCATTTTCGTTCATGCTGGCTGAGTCATCCACTGCCACCAGAACCTGGTAGTCTCGTTTGCTGGGCTTGGTCCGTCGTAGCCAGATTTGATCATTTTGAAAGTACGATGCAATGTAGGGGATTATGCGACGCATGTTTAGTCGCTTCCCTGTCCTATAGTCTCCTCTAGAATTGGGAGAAAATGACAAACACATCTTGTAAAAAGATGATTCTAAGTTGCTCCACATACTTGAGCTGAGAAGCCTGTGTTGGCGTGAGGGCTAGTCTCAACTCCTCACACAGAGACTGGGCCAAGCCTGACATTAACAACTCATACCTTTGCCACATCTTTTCCGCATCCACATCCTGTAGCGAAGAGAGTAAGGAACCCCTGATGCAATTAATGCAGGTTTTCCCTCCAACAGAATCAACCCACAATGTATCTACAATGCATGAAACGTCCCTTTCCCTCCTAACTCTGTAAAGTATATACCTTCGACTTGGCGTGGAGAACTTTGATATCTTCCATTAGACCTTCCCTCAGGTTATGCTCGTCCTAACAAAAAAAGTATGTGATTACACAATATTCAAACCTCTCATGGAAGTTTTACGATGCTCACCAGCACTCTCCCCTGCTGGCCTGGCAGTAGACTGGTATTGACAAAAAAGGAGTGTGGTTCAGGCATTGTAGCTTGAGCGTGAGACAAGGAGGACTCCTCTTTCTCGACTTCTGTCTCCATTTGTTCTTCTTGTACAACAGTGTCAGGATCTTGAGGTGGACATAACAGTCCTGTGTCTACTGTGTTGTCTGAAAATTGGGGCTGTCTTGTTTGCTGCAGGAGAACATGAACAACAGTAACCAAAATGATTGCACACTTGTATACCTCTGTATTGTCAGCCTGGGAATCATCATTTTGGTCAGTGGGATCACCCAGGTCAGTAGGAGGGATGGTTCCAGGAGGCTGCATCAGAGGAGCTGCATCCCACACTACTGCATCATGCTCCATAGCGCCCTCATCCCTCAGATGCTGCACCGTATCAGATTCCTATGTAGAACAAATTAACAGTCATGCTGCCTAGTGGTAGCTGAAATAGTAAAGACCATTCTTTCGTGTGGTGTATGTTTCCCCTCAGTCCTCTCGAGCACCAGTCGTGGTCTCTTAGCAAGCCTCTCTTCTTGTCCAGCAAGACTGTAGTCTTCCAGAGGTCGGTGGTGGAGTCTACTGCGCAGTTTCTGCCCCTTAGGCTGTAGTATAAACAATACTTCAAATGACAAGAGTTGTATATACCTCGCTAACCTCTTGCTGACTGGTAGAACTTGTCACAAGAGAAGTGGATGCTCCATTCGCAGCTTTATCCTCTGCAAATTATAGTAAAGCACTCGTCAGTTTATAACGAAGTAAATGTGGTCCTTATTCGTGTTTGAACACAAAATTCTTTTCAAAAATGTGGATTACCGTATGATTTGTCTTCCTTGCTTTTGTTGTTGCCAACCTCTGTGGACTCCTACATAAAAAGCATAAAACCTGACAAATTTGTTAAGCCAGTGATTAGAACAACAGCAAAAGTTTCAGACCAGTTTATAAAACTTGGCTCAGCCAGAAACTAGTAGTACAGACCCCGAAATATGTCAGTAATTGGTCAGTCAGTAAAAGACAAAGCCTATTTGCTCCACCCTTGCCTATAAGTCTCCCAAAAGCATCCATGGGGTTTACAAAGTCCACTATTTGGTACTTGGTGTGCATTGAGAAGGCACACAACTCACTCTGAATTGTGTCAAGACTGAGACCAGGCCAAGTATACAGTAGCTTTGTCGCTCTGTGTGGTTACCTCGTGTCAGACTTGATCTCCCGGTCAATGATAGGTCATAGCACGAATGGGATATGCTAGTGTTTCTCAGGGGTTGTCTAGATAGGCAATACCAGACTGCACATCGTGCTACGTATTACAATTTGGAACAGGCCTCTTGATGCATGAACAATTACCATATATACTAAACATACTTACACCACTACATCACTATTTTCAACCATCATTCAGCATACTTTGTCGTTAGAGGAAATGTACCTGCTGTTCCTGTTGACTGGAGTTAGGAGGCAAATTTTCATCAGACGTCACGGTTTCTGCTCCAGTTTGCCCTTTAGACTCTAATGACTGTGTAGCAGCTACTTCAGATGTCTGTGGCTACAACAAATAGTGTCTTAAACATTCTATTGTAACAGATCAAAACCAATACCTCATTGTTCAGCTCCTCCATTGTATTGGGTTCATTTTCTTGGGAGTATTGTGAACCATCCTCCTCTATATCGTCCACGCTATCTTCTATATTATCTACCTGTTCCTCTCCTACAACAGCAATCCCACAAAGGTTAATGTTTAAACAATACGTATAATTATACCAGATGACATTTTCTCTTCTCGCTCCATTTCATCCTGGTCCATATTATCCAGATCAAAACCAGGGTCACCATCCTAGCAAAAATGTAAAAACAACACAAATTGGGTGTGTGTATACACTCATGCAGCACTAATAGATACAGATGTGAGAAAGTCAAATGCAAATAAGCACCAATGGGATAGAGTGTACAAAATGCCCTTAGAGTCATAAACATCAGAACAGTACACCTCACCGATGGAAAAAAAGAGCCCAATGGAAAGCAAGGGAGACTTATACAGGGGGAGAGGGAATACAAAGTTGGTTCACTGAGAGATGGAGATTGATGGGAGTTTGTCCTTCGAATGGCATAGAATTGCATGCATGCAAGTCACTGCTAGGTCCTCGGTACTTCACTTAGACACCCTCTCCCTGGAGCTGCCATCATGCTTGCGGCATGGGTTGCTGGCTGGTTCAGAACACACTCGATGCACCATGCCTTCATAGGAAGCAAGCCCCATCTTCTGTCAGCCATCTGTTGCTATACACCTCAGGGGATTTAATGGCTGTTCGTTGGACTTGTTCATGCTTCAACAGCTCACAATACCGAACTGACCGAAAGGTAGTTGTGAGAAACAACCACTCCCATGCCCAAGCTGTATAATGAATTACATGGGAGGGGTCGATTTAACTGACCAGCCATTATACTACAGCCACCCACAGAGGAGAACCATCAAGCTGTGGAAGAAAGTGTCGCAAAGGATGCTAGACGTCAATAGTCGAAAAGTACTTTGATTCGCCCAGCTGGTCCACAGTGTATAGAATCCACACAGAATTGGACAAGAAGAGCCCTCTGCTGGGAGAAGAATCTAACTAGAGAGCGAGTCCTTCAACTTCTACATAACAAGAGAGAGCATAGAACCGCCAGGTGACATCTGCCAAAAGTAAAATTTCCATTCTAAATGCTTGGATGCATCGCTCAAATGTTTCCTCTGGTGTGATTACTTTTAATCGAATGTTCAGAATTAAACCAGCTAATCAGCTTGTTCTGCCCCTTCTCTAGCTCAGGCGGTTGCGCCTAGGTCTGAGGTTCGCGTAGGTCGTAGGTCCGCGGTGCGCGGTACGTCTTAGGTCGAAGGTAAATGTCACGTGATATCACAATACGCATGCGCGGCTTAGGTCCTAGGTCGAAGGTAAGCGCTAATGCGCATGCGCTTACGCTTAGGTCCCAGGTAAATTTCCTTAGGTGCGAGGTAACGCCTTGGTTGCGATCGGTCTCTCTATTTCTGGCTCTCTTTCGGACATGTCGAAGTCCCACCATTTCCGTAGCCTCGGGCAGTATGCCGAGCAACTGATGGACCTTGCTGAGGGACGGCCCGCGTTCATCGGCAGAGGACAGAAACCGTCGAATCGCGGGGTATTGGCAGCGATCGCCGCGATCAAGAAGTGCCGGCAGGGAGCGTTTTTCCAGCCCTCCGCGAACAGGCCATGCTCGTGCGGCTGGCACACTAAAGCGGCAGCCAGGAAGCGGGCGAGGCAGGCCCAGTCGCGCTCGTCTTCTTCGATCGCTCCCGCTCTTTCTGACACCTCTGCCTCCACGAGCAGCCCCTCCCCCTCTGTCCCCCCTACCCCCTCTCCCCCTGTCCCCCCTGCCACCGGTGCTCCCGCTGCCTCTACCATCAGCTCTCCCCCTCCCCCCGTCCCCCCTGCTGCCACCACTTCATCCACCGCTGCCTCCGCAGCCAGCCTCTCCCCCTCCCCTCTCCCCTCCACTGCTGCATCCTCCAGCCCCTCCCCCACTCCCCATCCTTCCTCCAGCAGAGGCCTGTCCATGGTTGGAACTGGACCGGTGCCTCCAAAGTTCGACAGGAGCGACTTCCAGTCACCCACCATCAGTGAATTGAGGACCATCGGCATTGGGGTTAGGACCTCCCCGGGAAAGCTGGATCTGATCGTGTATTGCCAGTTGAAGGGGAGATGTCCTCACTGCAACTCAACACTGATCTCAGCAAACTCGGTTGGCAAGCGCAAGTTGTGTTACGCCGTCCCTTGGCCGAAGACTATCGTTGGGGTTGACATGAGGTGTGGAAAGTGCAACAAGCACTTTATGACACATGACCCGAGCTACGTCAACACCCTCCCTTCGGACCAACAGATCAGACGTGAGTTTGTCTCCTCCAAGGGCAACGGGAGCCACATCTCTCTGCTCCGCTTACTCCGGTCGGGTTTGACAGTCGCCCAAGTGGAGCGATACATCGATGACGAGGTTCGACAGCACTACCTCATGCTGAAGTCCAAATACATAGAGCTCTGGGACAAGGTATTTACTACTGTCATAAAAGTATACACTGCTATGACTATTTTCCACTTGCATTATTCAATGTCTTCTTCCAAATCTAGGTAGATGCCATGCGCGGTGTCGGTAAGGTGAACGTGGCTCCTCGTGATGCCTTCCCTCCATTCCCCTCCCACTATGTTCCCTGCCGACCCCACATCACCGCCATGTTCATCAAAGACTACTGGGAGAACAAGCCACACATCATGCGTGAGCTTCGATCTATCCTCAGCCACCACAGCCTCGCAGTTGACCACCAGCGCAAGGTTGTGAAGCGCACTCTCGGCGATGATGTTGTTGGCAGTGGTGGACAGACGTTCACCATATGTGGCGACTTCGGCCTCATCTGTGGGGTGTATGTAGTCCCCGACACAGCTCTCTCCTGGGCAAGGAAGGCCATGTGTGAGGTCATCGACAGACACGTGTCGGCCGGAGTGGAGGTGCCGAAGTCTCTCTACATGGACTGTGGCTGCTGTGGTGGGAAGGTGGGGTCTCGAGCTGACACAGGCACAAGTGTCGCAGCCCTATGGCGGTCGACCTTCTCTGTCAAACTGGATGCTATGCATCTTATGTTACGAATTGGACGGGAAATGAATGCCGAACACCCCCGTCGAAAGAGGTTTCTCGTCGACCTCAGCCACGCTATCTTCGTCCAGCATGAGGGTGATCGGCAGCGACTGATGAACGCCAAAGAAGCAGCAGGACTGGAGGGACCTCCTACTCGAACTGAGAGGGTCAAGTTCATTCGCCGAGTCGTTGGTGAGCCAGAATGTGTGGCGGAGCGAATGATCTTGGTCCTCAAGGCTCACCGAGAGATAGACACTCAGTGCCGTACACAGGCAGAAGCAGCAGGCATGAAAGTGGACGACCTGACAGTTGCCGATGTAGCCTATCCTCTCATCACTAGGCGGGTGACAGCCGTGTTCCAACAGCAGCTCGTCCATGTTCGGAATGGATGTATATCCGATGACCCAGACCACCTGCCATTTGTGAAGGTCGGCACCATCAACTACCACTCGACCGGCCATCATCTCGACCACTATCAGTCCCTTCGTGGGACAAGCAAGGTGGAAGCTGTCCACTCGGTCCTCAACAGAACCTTCTACTCCCAACGGGGTATAGGCTCGGAGGTGTTTGATGCACGGTTGGGATGGTGGATCCTGGGGTACAATCGTCGTCGCCTGCGTGCTCTGGGAAAGAAGGTTCCACCAGACAGCATGCCACCAAAGGTATATACATTTGACTAGTTAGCAAAATCCAGTTATGTTTGTGTGCTTTGTTCTTCTTATTTACCTTTCATTCTGCCTTTGTCTGATTCAGATTTGTGAGCACTACATTGCTCGTGGACTGTGTGACGACTACCCAGACTGGTCGATCGCTGCACCAGGCTTTGACACCAGTGTCAAGATAGGGTATGAGTACGGACGTTCCGTGACTGGAGAGGAGCAGCAGATTGAGCTCGATTTGGATGAGGAGGCGGTCCGTACTGATAATGACCAGGTGGTGCCCGACCCTCAGGAAGAGAGATCAATGGTGGCGACATCAGCTGAGGTACATTATATAATACTGTAATATATAGTTGTGTTTTGTTGCCGATTGTTGATACCCTGATGAACATTTTTTCTGATTATCAAGTAGAATTTGTTATCTTCAGGCACTCCAGGAGCTCGGTCTCGATACAGCTGATCTTGTCGATGAAGAGCCCTCCTTTTTCCACCCGTCATCACAAACAACATCTCAAGAACACCGTGAGTATATATTTCATGTTGCGTTGTCTGATTATAAAACATATAACACACAAGAATGAGACCCAATGGGTTAGATTATTGTCACGAGTGCTAGTAAGGAAATAACAGGATATTTTTGTTTCCCCAGAGTCACCAAGTGTCAGCGCTGCCACCAATGTCACTCAGGACATGGACGTAGCCACAACAGGTGAATAATTTGGCAGTTTTCATGTTAACATAATTATAGCAGCTCTAGTGATGCTTGTCATCACAATTACTTCTCCTACAGTGCACTAAAGAAATAATTTATCTTGTTTCTCTTACCTTTTAGAGTCGCCAAGTGTCAGCCATCCCTCCAACGAAGCTGAGGAGATGGCCATAGACGGTGAGTTTCTCTAATCCAATACACATAGTTATTAACGATGTAGGTAGTTATCACTTGCGCTCATGTAGTGGTTTACATTCTCACTTTTTCTCCATAGATTCACCAGTTGCTGACTCTACTCCAGACTGGAGAAGTGTGCCTCTCCCTGACACCACACCCGGACGCCGACGAAACGTGTCACGCCTGCGAGCCATGGGAGGAGACCCCACATGTGTCCCTCCAGATTTTAACAGGAACATGCTCGCTGTCTGGGAGGAGCTGTGGCATTCGATGCCCCAGAGTGGCAAAGTCAGTGCCACAGTCTACACACTTCTGCAGGAGTACAAAAAGCACTGCAGAGAGGAGAGAAGGCGACTGCAAGAATCAGCCGGTACCCCCCCAGCACTTCTACCCGTTTCATTTGCCCAAGCCAAAGACTGGCTACTCCGACAGCAAAAAGCTCAGTCGCAAGCCCTCCAGATTGGTGCTGTGAATGAGGAGGCACGTGAGGTGGTGACGGAGCTCCAGCAATCCCTCGCCGAGCAGCCAGCATCGACAGCTGCGCTTCTAGAGCAGCCAGCTCGTCAGGCCTCCCCAGTTGTCCCCCAACCTGTGATGTCACTTGGTCCTGAGCCAGTGACTGATCAGGTGAGGGCAGAGGAGCGTGCTGAACAGCGAGCACGACGGCAGGCAGAGGACAGTGCTGGACCAAGCCGAAAGAAGACAGCACCCAGCCAGAGAAAGGCAGCACCTAAAAAGAAGAACATCCCGCCCGAGCTTCAAGAGCGCCAAGAGCGAGCATCTGCTCGTATGCTCGAACTAGGTGTTCCTCCTCTCGAGGAATCCCATGATGGGAAGCGTCGCTGCCCTGTCTGTAGGCAGTTGCGTGCAGCAAATGACAAGACGCCTGATGGCAGAATACATCGCATCCTAGGGCGATCTAATAAAATCTGGTGCCCGTATGGCGATGACTTATCTATTCTCGAGACTTTTGAAAAGGAGCAGAAAGAGAGAACACAGGCAGCGTGGCGCAGAGCGAACGAAGCAAAACGATCGAAGAAACAGCAGTAGCTTTCACAGGATTCCTAATCAACATTCATACTTTCTATCATTGCATATAACACCATTATCAGCTCTAATTATATTTCATAATCGCATAGCACCATTATCAGCCATAATTATCGTTCATACTCACTATTATTGCATAACACCATTATTATTGCATAACATTATGATAATTAGTTGGTATCAGGGATCAATGGTTCGATGCCCTACAGAGGCATGAGGCCCTTCTTTCTTTTTTTCCTTCTTTTCCCTCTTTTCCCTCTTTACCCCTCCTTTCCCCATTTTTTCTCCCTTTTTTCCTTTTTTTTCTCATTTTTTCCCCTTCCTCCCTCCCTCTTTTCCCCCCTCTTTCAGTCTCTTTTCCCCCAACCCGTCTTAGGTAAGCGGTACGCTTAGGTACGTCGTTATACGCATGCGCGCTTGCCCTTTGAACTTGCGTTGGTCTTAGGTCTTAGGTACTAGGTGCGCGCTTGCCGTTTGAACTTTGTCGTAAAGAAGACGTCTTCTCACCCGCTGAAATGTTGCGATTGCATCATTTCCGCGGCGTCGAAGAGTATGCCGAATAGTTGATGGACTTTGCAGAGGGACGGCACGTGTTCACTGGCAGAGGCCAAAAACCGTCCAATAAAGAAGTCTTGGCAGCATTCACCTTGATTAAGAAGTGCCGACAGGGATCTTTCTTTAACCTCTCCGCATACCAAAGCTGCCAGGAGGAAGCAGGCGAGGCAGGCACAGTCAGACGCTTCTGCTTCGTCCACGCCAACCGTAGTCTCATCCTCAAACGCTCCTGCGACCGGTGAGCCCTCCTGCACGTCACCTGGCTCGAGCTCTCTCTCGGTGTCTGTTGACCCCGTTACACGGACTACCTCTTCCAGCACCGCTGCATCCACCAGCAGCACAACCGCTTCAGCAGACCCGCCCAAGGTTGGATCTGGACCGGTGCCTCCCAAGTTCGACAGGAGCGACTTCCAATCACCTACCATCAGTGAGTTGAGGGCTGTCGGCATCGGGATAAAAACCTTTCCGGGCAAGCTGGATCTGCTGGTCTATTGCCCATCGAAGGGCAGGTGTCCTCACTGCAAGTTCGCACTGATCACAGTGAACTCAGTCGGCAAGCGGAAGTTGTGCTACGCCATCCCTTGGACAAAGACCATCGTTGGAGTGGACATGAGATGCGGCAAATGCAAGAAGCACTTCATGACCCACGACACGAACTACGTGGACACTCTCCCTTCAGAGGAGCAGGTCAAGAGTTTGTCACCGCCAAGGGCAATGGAAGCCACATTTCCCTGCTGCGCTTACTTCAGTCAGGTTTGACTGTGGCCCAAGTGGAGCGGTACATCGAGCATGAGATCCGGGAATGCTGAAGTCGAAGTACATCGAACTTTGGGACAAGGTATTTACTAAAGTATCATTATTAACTCATATATAGAATCTATTTTTACTGCTGTAACTATCGTCATGAAATGAAATTTGTTTCCTCCGTGTGTCCTTATCTGTTTGTCTGTTCGCTATTCTTGCCACTAATTATATACTACTCTTTCATTTGTTTAAAAATCTAGGTGAATGCTATGCGTGGTGTTGGCAAGGTGAACGTGGCTCCCCGCGACGCCTTTCCTCCATTCCTTTCCCATTATGTTCCGTGCAGACCGCACCTAACGGCAATGTTTGTCAGGGACTACTGGGAGAATAAGTCACACATGATACGTGAGCTGGACGTCGGCGCAATGTGGCATGCCTGCGTGCTATGGGAGGAGACCCCACATGTGTTCCTCTTGGTTTTAACAGCAGCATGTTAGCTATCTGGGAGGAGTTGTGGCACTCAATGCCCCAGAGTGGCAGGGTTAGCATCACTGTGAACAACCTGCTGCAGCGCTACAAGGAGCGTTGTAGAGCCGAGAGGAAGCGGCCGCGACACTCAGCTGATGGCCCTCCAGCACTGCTGCCAGTTTCATTTGCACAGGCCAAGGACTGGCTGCTCAGGCAGCAAAAAGCCCAATTTGAAGCCCTCCAGACCAGTGCGGTGAATGAGGAAGTTGTTGCTGACCTCAACCGCTCTCTGGCTGAGCAGCCAGCATCAACGGCTGCACTTCTGGAGCAGCCAGCTCGCCCGGCCTCTCCAGTGGTTCCCCCATTGGTGATGTCACCTGGTCCTGAGCCAGTGACTGATCATGTGAGGGCAGAGGAATGCGCGGAAGAGCGAGCTCGTAGGCAGGCAGAAGAGCCGCGTGTGGTATCTGGCAAGAAGACAGTGGCACCAAAAAAGAGGAAGGCAATCCCTCCAGAGCTGGAGGAGCGGCAAAAGAGAGCATCAGCTCGCATGCTAGAGTTGGGTGTCCCTCCACTCCAGGCAAGGATTCATTTCTGTCCCTCTACTCCAGGCAAGGATTCATTTCCTGCTTCTTGTGGTAGTATGTCTTATAAAGACCTATCATCTATGTAATTACCTACTATACACTTCCATGTGCTGCTTGATTTTTCTTGTCTACGTACAAGACTTTCCCCTGCAGTCTCTTCATTCACATACTTTTTTGTTTTCAGGAAAAGGTTCTTGAAGGAAAGCGTCGCTGCCCTGCTTGTAACCAGCTACGCACAGCCAGCGATAAAACACCAGACGGCCAGATCCATCGTGTTTTGGGACGGTCGAACAAGATCTGGTGTCCGTATGCAGACGATAGATCGATTCTGGAGACCTTCGAAAAAGAGCAGAAGGAAAGAATGCAGGCTGTGTGGCGAAGAGCAAATGAAGCAAAGAAAAAGCAACTTTCAGAAACATCTTAAGAGTCGCTGCATCATTGTGTTTTCTCATTATTCTTACTATACTATCTGATTTTGCACAATACAAATATTTCTGGTTGATATCTGTGTTTGGTACCCTGCAGGAGCACAATGAAAATTCTTTGCCTCGTAATTAATGGGCAATTACGGTTAAAACGGAAGTAGGCGGGCAAGCACGCGCATACAAAACAGACGCGCAGCGCTGCAGTGCTAACACTATCGCGTATCGCAGTGTTTGCAGCGTGTTCTGCCTGCCAAAGCCACTCAAATTCTTCTCAAAGTTCTTTTTCCCCCACATACAGCATCCCGATGGCCACACTATTCGATCTCCGTAATGCAGACCTGGACTCGCTGCTCAAGACGCAGCTCATCCAGCTATGCAAGGAGCTCTGATGGCGAAGATAGACATCAAAAGTGCCTTCAGACTCTGTCCAGTCCACCCCTCTGACCACCACCTCCTAGGCATGAAGTGGAGGGGCTCATTCTACTTCGACTGCGTCCTTCCTTTCGGTCTCAGGTCAGCCCCTTTCGTCTTCAATTGCCTAGCCGAAGCTATCGAGCGGATAGCTATCCAGCAGTGTAGGACATTGGACTTACTAGCCGTAGCTATCTAATATCATGGTCATTACTTAGCCATTAGATCATTACATGTTAGTCTATTTAAGTCACTGTATTTCCTGTACACTTCAGTCTATATCCTACGAACCTACTGGTAACAGATACCTAGTAGAGAACACTACATGGTGGCAGCAGTGATCGAACGCTAGCCATGGCAACGCTCCATCTCATACCCCCAGAGCCCTTCAATTTCAAGGCGCCAGACGAGTGGCCGCGATGGCGCACACGATTCGAGCAGTTCCGAGTCGCGTCAGGCCTCTCTGGAGACTCCGCCGCAAAGCAGATCAGCACGCTACTTTACTGCCTGGGAGAGGAGGCAGAGTCCGTCCTGTCCTCCATGAACGCAACTGATGAAGATCGAAAGGACTACGCCGCCGTCATGAACAAGTTCGACGAGTATTTCAAGGTCCGCCACGACGTCATCTACGAGCGAGCCAGATTTAACCGCCGGAGTCAACAACCCGGTGAGACATCAGAACAATTCATTATGGCCCTGTATGAACTCGCATCAAACTGCGAATATGGCGAGCTGAGAGACGAGATGATCCGCGATCGCATAGTTGTTGGTATCCGCGACTCCAGCCTCTCCAAACGCCTACAACTCAATCCAACGCTGACGCTAGACAAAGCTAAGCAAACAGTCCGCCAGAGCGAAGCTGTGCACGAGCAAAACAAATCTCTAACAGCTCAGGCCTCACCAGGAAATATCGACGCGATGCAACCGGGAAAATATCGCAAATGAAATCCACGGTTTGGAGGAGGCAAACAACTGAGCACAAGCCCTCATAATGAAAGCTCTACCAAACAGGCCGGAAAACAGTGTCCTCGCTGCGGAAAAGAACTGCATTCCAGAGAAAACTGTCCTGCAAAAAACGCCATTTGCAGAAAATGCGGAAAAAGAAACCATTTCGCTGCAATCTGCCGTTCGAAAACCACTAGCGAAGTCACGACGAGCAGCCTCCTCAACGAGAGTGTTATCCGCGAAGTCCATCCACTACCCAAAGTCGATGAGACGCTGGCTCAACTCTCAGGAGCGAAGGTTTTTACCAAGCTCGACGCCAACAGCGGATTTTGGCAAATACCCCTTTCGGAGGAGTCTCGCCTACTGACCACCCCAATAGGTCGGTTCTGCTTCAACAAGCTGCCCTTTGGAATCTCAAGCGCCCCAGAACATTTCCAAAAGCGCATGTCCGCAATATTGACTGGGCTTGAGGGAGTAGTCTGCCAAATGGACGACGTCCTCATCTTCGGGAGGGACCAACAGGAGCATGACACCAGATTGTTTAACGTAGCAATGCCGGAGCAACCCTAAACCCAGAGAAATGCGAGGTTAGCAGAAACTCGGTGAAGTTCCTCGGGCATGTCATCGACGAAAAGGGAGTTTCAGCAGACCCAGAGAAAACTCAAGCTCTCACACAAATGAAGACACCCACTCATGTGTCAGGACTGAGACACTTCCTGGGGATGGCTAACCAATTGGGAAAGTTTTCCCCAAACTTAGCCAATCTCACACGGCCTTTGAGAGAGCTACTAGCAAAAAGAAGCATATGGAGGTGGGACGAAGCACAAGCAACAGCATTCAAGGAAGTCAAACGAGAGCTCACAGCAGCAATGACGCTAACGTTCTACGACCCATCCGCAGATGCCAGAGTCTCAGCAGATGCCTCAGCATATGGGCTAGGAGCCGTCCTCCTACAAAAATGCAAGGATGGGTGGAAACTTGTCGCATACGCATTACGGTCCCTGTCGGAGACTGAACAACGATATGCCCAGATAGAAAAGGAGGCACTCGCAATAACCTGGGCCTGTGAAAACGTACCTCATCGGCAAGAGATTCCAGGTGGAAACAGGCCACAAACCCCTGGTCCCACTTCTGAGCTCCACACCCTCCCACCACGAGTACTACGATTCCGTCTTCGTCTCGACAGATTTGACTTCTCGATTCAACACACTACAGGCAAACACATGCACACAGCTGACGCGTTATCGCGTGCTCCACTCATCACCACTGATGACAACTCGGAAACACACAACCTAGAGGAGCTGGCCCAACTGGCAATGGACGCATGTGTATCCGAACTCCCAGCCAGTCCAGCAACGGTGAGCGATCTTGAACAAGCCCAGAGCGACGACCCAGTGTTGTCCATGATCATAAAGTACTGCCAAAACGGTTGGCCGGGAAAGAACAAACTCAACGAAGTGACTCTACTTTATTGGGAAGTGCGAAGCCATCTCACACTGAATGGCAACCTTCTACTCTACGGCAGGAGAATTGTCATCCCAGCCTCTCGACAAAAGGAGGTCCTTGCCAAACTACACTCAGGACACCAGGGAATCCGACGATGCCGTCTCAGAGCCACCAAACTCTCTGTATGGTGGCCGGGATTACCGTCCAGACTAGAACAGTTCGTCCGGAGTTGCCCCACATGCGCAAGAGAAAACCAGAAACCAAAAGAGCCCCTACTACCTTCCCCACTACGCGACTACCCATGGCAAAAGATCGCAACCGACCTCTTTCAACACGAAAACAACAATTACCTTATCGCAGTTGACTATTTTTCGCGATACCCGGAAGTTATTTCCCTTTCATCCACAACCTCCAGCAACATCATCCGAACACTCAAATCAATATTCGCCAGACACGGTATCCCGACAACAGTAGTGAGTGATAATGGGCCCCAATACTCGTCGCAAGAGTTCAAAGAATTCACCAGAGACTATAACTTCACCCACATTACCAGCAGCCCCCACTTTCCCCAAAGCAATGGCCAGGCAGAAAGAGGAGTGAAGACAGTAAAGAAGCTTCTTAAGGAGACCAAAGACCCATTCCTTGCCCTACTCTCCTACCGTGCAACCCCCCTCCCCTGGTGCAACCTCTCACCTGCGGAACTACTGATGGGACGACCAATCCGTTCAAATATCCCTCAATTGGAGGAGACCTTCATCCCACACTGGCCGTACCTAGACAAGTTTCAACAGGACAACAAACACCTCAAAACCCAACAGAAGACACATTTTGACAAACGTCATCGCACCAGACCTCTCCCAGTGATACCCGACGACACGGAAGTATGGGTCCGCACCACTAACAACCAACATGTATCTGGTCGAGTAACCAGGTCCGCAAATACCAAGGTCTTACGAAGTGGAAACGCAAGACGGACAAACACTCCGACGAAATCGTTCGCACATCACGCCAATTCCGAACAACGGTTCAACCGATGGAAATATTTCAACATCTAACAACACCCGAAGTCCTATTCAGACCCGTTCACGAACAGGAGTACGAATCAATCCTCCAGATAGACTGTGAACTCAATATCCCGAGAAAGGGAGATGTAGGACATTGGACTTACTAAGCCGTAGCTATCTAATATCAGTCATGTATTTAGCCATTAGATCATTACATGTTAGTCTATTTAAGTTACTGTATTTCCTGTACACTTAGTCTATATCCTACGAACCTACTGGTAACAGATACCTAGTAGAGAACACTACGGAAAGGAGGAGACTAAGGATAGAAGAGAGAAACGCGAGATCCCTAGGGGAGGAGGCACAAGCAGCCGAAGAATGGCAGAAAGGAGGCAAAATGCCTCGCAGAAAAACATGTGAGATAGGAGGTAATCAAAGGAAAAAAAACTAGACCATGGAGGCATGAAGTACCGGGAAGAATAAAAGGAGAGAGAGAAAAGATAGAAGAGACAAAAAGTAGACTGGCTAATGAGGAAAAAGGAATGATAAGAAGAAAGATATGAAAGAATAGTTTTGCCCTAGAAACCCCTCCATTTACGGATACATCTCTCTCCACCTGATCCCCTCCCTACTGACCCCTTCCGACGAAATCGTTCGCACATCACGCCAATTCCGAACAACGGTTCAACCGATGGAAATATTTCAACATCTAACAACACCCGAAGTCCTATTCAGACCCGTTCACGAACAGGAGTACGAATCAATCCTCCAGATAGACTGTGAACTCAATATCCCGAGAAAGGGAGATGTAGGACATTGGACTTACTAGCCGTAGCTATCTAATATCATGGTCATTATTTAGCCATTAGATCATTACATGTTAGTCTATTTAAGTTACTGTATTTCCTGTACACTTCAGTCTATATCCTACGAACCTACTGGTAACAGATACCTAGTAGAGAACACTACAGGGGTCACCCACATCCACCACTACCTGGATGACTTCTTCGTCTCTGGAACAGCCGACTCAGAGCAGTGTTCACAACACCTGCACACCTTCGTCTCCCTTTGCGTTGTCCTGGGGGTCCCACTGGCCGACGACAAACGGGAAGGACCAATCACTTGCCTTGAGTATCTAATTATACTCCTCGACTCCGCCTCCCTTGAAGCCCGCCTCCCCCCCTGATAAACTCCAGGACATACAACACTCTCTGGACAGCTGCTCCAAGCGGGAACTACTATCCCTTATTGGCACCCTAAGCTTTGCAGCCAAGGTGGTCCCAGCTGGAATGACCTTCCTCAGAAGGATGATTGACCTCAGCTCCTCTGTTGCCTCCCTAGACGAGGTCATCCCCCTCTCCGGGGACTTCATGCTCGACCTCCAGTGGTGGCAGGAGTTCGCCACCCCGTGGAATGGGCGATACTTCTTCCTCCTCCCAGACCGGACCCTTCTCCCCACCTCCAGCTCTTCACCGACAGCTCAGGGACCACCGGGTTCGGTGCCTACTGCCAGGGTGAGTGGTTCAACGGCCGCTGGTCTACGGCTCAGTTGGAACGGAGTATCCAGTGGAAGGAGCTCTACCCAATCGTGCTCGCAGCAGCAGCTTGGGGTGAACAGTGGCGTACTCTACGCATCCGCCTACTCTGCGACAACCAGGCGATAGTGCATTGCCTAGTGTCTGGCTCCTCCCGTTGCCCTCATGTAATGTCTCTCATCCGTATCCTCTTTCTCTTGGCTTCTAAATACAATTTTACCGTGTCTGCACAACACATTCCAGGAACCCACAATATTATTGCCGACTCTCTTTCTCGGTTTCGCATGCAGGTGTTTTGGTCTCACGCTCCACAGGCCTCACCCCAGCCAACCCCTCTCCCCCACTCTCTTCCCTTCATGGAGAAATGACCTACTACTTGCATCACTCCCTCGCACCTCCTACTCATCCGCTCAACGCTGTTTCATCAACTTTGCCGTAACGTACAACCGCCTGAACAAAACAGGCTCCCCAATCCCTGCCTCCGAGATCACCCTTATGCTCTTTGCCACACATCTTACACACACCCACAAACCTCAGTCTATCAAACTCTACCTCCCCGCCGTCCGCACACTACACCTTGAGCACGGTCTGCCGGACCCAACATCGGAGGCAGTCAACCTCTGACGCCTGATGCGTGGCATCAAACGGGTGCATGGCAACACCACCGACTCCCGGCTTCCCATCACCCCTTCCCTCTTGCGCTCGTTTAGCTCCTTCCTTAATCTCTCCTACCCTGACCACCTAACTCTTTGGGCCGCCATACTCCTTGCCTTCTTCGCCTTCCTCCGCAGCGGCGAGCTCCTCTCACTCCACCGCAGTGACCTGCACAGGACAGCGGACGGGTTCCAGGTGCACATCAAGCAGTCCAAGACGGACCCATTCAGCTCTGGAGCTGTCGTCACAGTGCTCCCATCTGGCGACCCGTCCCTCTGTGCAGTCACTGCCCTGGATTCCTACCTAGCGACCCAGGGCCCCACAGAACGTACTCTGTTCTGCCTCCAGACAGCTGCTCACACGCCAGAGACTCAACCACCTAATCAGAGACCTGGCCTCGCGGTGCGGAGCCGAGTGACAGCGGTACTCCTCCCACTCCTTCTGCAGCAGGCATCCCAGATTGGAGGATCCAAGCCCTGGGCCGCTGGAGCAGCGACTGATACCGGCGCTACATCCACCTGCCGAGTAGCGAGACCAACGGCGCTGCAGCAGCACTAGCAGGAGCTCCACTATAATTCACAACCAAGTAAGCTCACTAAAGCCGGACCCTAAATGTTTGGGGCAGCACCTATCTAACAACCTATACCCCTCCCTATACATGCCTATGGCTTTTCAGGGACAGCCTATCCTCGTCTCCAGAGTGGCACTCAGACTGTCACACTGGAATGAGACGCACTCCCTCCTCGTCTCCAGAGTGGCACCCAGACTGTCACCTGGAACGAGACGCACTCCCTCCTCGTCTCCAGAGTGGCACCCAGACTGTCACCTGGAACGAGACGCACTCCCTCCTCGTCTCCAGAGTGGCACCTAGACTGTCACCTGGAACGAGACGCACTCCCTCCTCGTCTCCAGAGTGGCACCCAGACTGTCACCCGGAACGAGACGCATTTTCGCCCTGCCCAGCTCTGCCACTCAGCCTGGAACCTGGACAGAGACGCACTAACACCGTGCCCAGCGCTGCCATCCTCGATGGCACCTGGCCGGTCATAGAGCTGCCAGTTACAGGTCGGGTTCGGCCAAACAAGTAGAATAGGTTTGCCTCACATGGACTGCTATTACGCGAATGATTGTTTTACCTTTTTTCCTCCCATTTCCCCCCCATTTGTTCCTTCTTTTTTTCCATTTCCCCCTTTTACCCCCTCCCAGTCTGTTTCCCCCCAACCCCAGTTTAGATTGAGATTGAGCTATCTGAAAGTACAAAATTGCTTCACCCACTTTGCAGAGTGAATCACTTGGGATTAACTACAAAGGAGCTTGGTTTTCAGCCACCATACGTAATTGTATATGCTTGAACATAATGTACAGTATTCAGCCACCATACGTAATTGTATATGCTTGAACATAATGTACAGTATTCTACACACAAGACACCCACCCACCTCAATCTCTTGATTATGTTCCTCCAACATATTCTGATCACTCCCTTGTGCAACCAGAGTATCCTCATCCTTATCATTTTCATTATCTTCTCCCGCTGGCCGTGGTTCTTGGCCACGCTCAGACCTACATGGTTTCGGTTGTCCTGTAGATCAAATAAAAAAGTGTGCCTTTTCATTACAGTGCACAGTTCATTGCAACACAGTTTCTGTACAAATAGATAATAAGTGGTACGAACGCTTGCTTGGGTCGTGAGGGGTCACAGTAAGATTGGCCACATTGGGCAAACAAAGAAAGGAAAAAACTACCTTCCTGTGCCACAATTTTGGCCTCATCTGACTCTGCACTTCCTTCTTGTTGCTCCTCAGACTGCTGTGGCTAACAAAAACACTCATCGATTCACCATACACATAAAATACCACAGTATCAGACACGCACACCTCCGTTTCATCTTGCTCTTCCTCAGGCACCCACATGTTCCTGTCAATCTGCTCAGGATTATCCCCCCCGAGCTCTCCCATCTCTTTATCCAAATCCTCCCAATCTTGCCCTGTAGTCGGGTAACACCGCCCATTGTAGTGTATTGACATTCAATTACAGCTCTTACCTTCACTTTCTTCATCTTCTTCAGGTAGATCGGCGACATCTCCTCCAAAGTCCTGAGTCATGTCCACCGCATCCTCTTCACCATTCTCTCTTCCCGCATCAGGCCCTTTCTGGTCTAGGGTCTCCTCCTCTTCTCCTGATTTCTTTGTTGGGTCCTCCTTAACAGCCGAAACAAACACCATCATAATCAGTGTTCTCCCCAGGCCGTTTTGGTCTAGCGCTCCGCTATGCGTTATCCACGAAAGGAATATGGGCCGCTAAGCGTTCGCGCGGCAGGTTTTACGTGTGCGCATGCGCGTAAATCCTTAGCCACACCCATTTCACGTGTTGGTTTTGGCTCGACATGGCAGCGGTATGGCGAAGAGGCCTGCAGGTGGCACTACTTGTGAGAGCTCCGTGCGTAGTAAACATAGAAAAACAGGTATTGATCCTAGATGGGCTAGTGATTTTCCTTGGTTGGTCATAGTTGATAGTGAAGGGGAGGCACGCGTGGCACGCGGCAGCGTTGGATCGGCGCGGCGGGGACAGTGTTAAAGACAATAGCCAGCGGTGCCACCTCGACACATTTACACTTGAAGTTTAGCTACCTGGAGATACCCAATCAAGCTTGTATGTACTTGACTATGTAGGCCTGGCAAGAGGCCATATCATTTGCCAGATTGCACCAGAAACACTCAGAATGTCCTAAATTTCAAAATTTACCTGGGAGAGAACACTGATAATAAAAGGCAAACACTAAACACTAAACACCACATAAACCTGAATGTGGCGGTGACACAGACTATTTCCTCACTAAATTCTCGGCATCTACTTCATTGCTGACATTCTTTGCTCCCAGTCCATCATCGAACCCTCCTCCCTCAGCTGCCTCAAAGTCTGTGCCTCCTTCTCCTTCTACCTCCTCTGCCTCAGGAGGGGCACACACACCCTACACAATGACAGTACTATTTTCTTAGGATAACACACCTAATTGCATGCTTACATGTGTTACTATGTTGTATAGCTATAAAACGAATGCAAGGTATTGTTGTTGTTGAGTCACACACGCACATGCAGCACACAATGGGAAATTTTTATATCTGTGTGAGTTTGTAAAAATTTAGGCATGTGACAGTATCGTATATACATACACACATATATAAGGAAAAACCACACATTCGGATAAGTAGTAGGTTTGCAATTACATTATATTATATGCATGATGGAGTAGGTATACCTTAGACACAAGGTCGGTGAACAAGGCCAGCAGAATTGATGATAGCTTGCAGAATGTACGATGAGCCAGTGCAAGGCGAAGCACCAACTCCCTCAGCAGAGATATATACTGGTCCAGAAGAGAAACAACAGGTACCAGCTTTTTCATAGACCCCTGAGAAGGTTCATATGATCCCAATACAGTACAACACACAAATATATTATGCAATTGTCCAAACGAAAAAGCGGTAAAAAAGTCGGCAAATTATTATTTCATATCAGCAGCTCCGTCTGCGTGTACTTGGAAAATTTTATGGCCATAACCTGTTCTTTTTCGGAGTTACAGCTAGTTTTATGTGGGAGTCACGAAATTTGACGATCACAGATACAGCAACCACTGGAGATTGGTAAGAAGGGATAACCTTGACTCTTTTTTGCTGTGCAAAGGCGTACCTCAGTGTTCTATACTATAGTACGTGGGAACGGCCACTTCCACGTGCTGGACCAGTGAAAAGGAGGTCGTGCAGAAAAAAGATGTTCCAATGAACAGTAAGTAGTGTAAGGAGTACTACTGCAAGAAAGACTAAGTGCATGTTTACCTAATTTATGTGGAAAAGTGTGCTAATGTCAGTGGCCGTTGTTGTTAGCTAGTAATCTCACCTGACTACCAGATTTAAGCATCACATCCAAAGGAAATAGATTGGTGTAAACACCTAGGGCTGTTAGCCCAAGTTTATATGTACAAGAAAATTTACAAACAAACGAAAACAAAGCATAGCTGTACACATAAGTGCTGGTGTAAATAGGAGTCAGGGAGTGTGGATCTGGAGTGGACGAGGAAGATGGAGAGGGAGAGATCATGTGCGCCTCCTCTTAGATGGCGTTTCTAAGGTTATGTCTGTTGTGTGGTTATGTGATTGTGTAGTGGTTCCTGGGTCTGGGCAGACGAGGTCTCTAACGTCTTCGCGGCAGTAGTCTCTGATTCTGTCAAAGAGGTACGTATCTTTGCCACTCAAGTGAGAGTCCGGTAGGTGCGATAGGGGGAGGTTTGTCCACACACGATGGTAACCACACCCCACATAGCAGGACCCGCTGTTCCTCCTCCGCCGTGGCAGTCTTCTTGAGGAAGACTACCCCTGGATGGTCCCGCTCGAAGCGGAAATGGTGGCACTGTTTGATACCATCCAGGCGGCGGAAGTAGGAGGAAAGAAACCCGGCCCAATCTCGGAGAGGCACGATGGTACTACCATCTTGGGCACTGACCAGCTGGCAGATGTTACATGCCGCGGACTCCAACACTACACGAGCCAAGTCGTCCAGAGAGCTGACGTCGGTTTGGTGAAACTTCCTCTGGATGAGACTGAAACAGGCGTCACGGGAGAACTTAGTGTGGCCAGTGATCATGAAGTGCAAACGGATGGTTTGGTGCAGGCCTGTGAGCACTCTCCACAAAAGGTACTGCACCGTGGTGTTGTTTTTGTTCTGGCCACTGCAGTTGTCATCATGCAGACTGGCGGTGGCTTCGCCAAGGCCACGATGGCAGAAACTGACAACTGACCCCCTTGCCTGTATCGCTGCCCTCATCAATGATGAAAGTTCACCTGCCTTGGGATAGCCTCACAGCACACCCCAAAGATGGCAGCCTTCCTAGGTGTTAGAAAATAGATTGGGGTGGCTGTAGGGATAATGCACCTGCTGCACAAAAATCAAATGAACAATGCGCCGAAATGGCATAACTATCATCCCATGGGGTGTTGGGGAGACAAACACCCCGCCCCCCTTCATAAAGTGGCTACGAACTTGCTCCCTGCACTCCTCGAGTTCAAGCTGGTAGATTGATCGTTCTAGGGTCAGAAGCAGTAGATGATGTGTAATAATTATTGTGAGTGTTATTATTTTCACTTATGTACCGCTGAGTTCTCCTCCACAGGTCGGTAGTGTGCCCTCATGATCAGGTTGCTGTTCTGCTGGCACACCCAGCAGAGGTCCGACATTTGGATGAGTCACCACGACCTGTGGAGTCAGCTGTTTCCACAGCTCACAGAAGAGCGAGTAGCTAACTACATTCACATCAGGTGTGACAGTGGCTGCCTGGTGGTAGGTCTCCCACACCTGTCGCTTGGTGGATGAGGACTGCAGAAGCTGCAGATCATCTCGTTCGTAGCCAGGATCCTGCCAGGAAGAAGGATGGCATGTTCTTCCGCATATTGCAAGATAAACCTGACTACGCCCTTGATGTCTGACAGCTTGGTCGTGTTGTGTGGGAGAACCTTAGCTTGCCCTCGGGGACTCAGACTGTTTTCCCTCCAGCTTCTCTTGATGGCATCGAACCGTGTTGCTTAGAGAGTGGAGGAACAGGAAAATCCTCTGACAGACGTGGTGGCCTCCGTAGCGGAAGAGAGTAGTGGTTCTCTCTTCCGATCGGTGTTCTTCGCCTTGGACTTCTGCGTCTGTGGGTCCCTGTGACACAAGGCACGGAGTTGTCCCATCACCATCATGTCCATTTGTTCCCGCATGAGTTGGCGGCACTCAAGAGCAATGAGCACGGACTGCCGGAGTTTAGTTGACACTTGCATCATTCAAAAATAAATCTAGTGATCCTCCTCTCCTCTGCGTCTTCGCTGTCATCATTCTCCACCGTCACCGATAGACCTGTATTGCACACGGTGTCTGAGGCTTCTTCTACAGCTCTCTCAACGTCTCGGAAGATTGGGTGCTTTTCAGCTACAGAGTCTACAGCACCAGTGTTGGTGAGAGAATGTTCTTCCACCCCTGTCAGAGTAGGAGAGATTGCTGCCAGAACTGCCGCCGGAGTGGGAGAGACTGCTTCCGGAGTGGGAGAGACTGCTGCCAAAGTGGGAGAGACTGATGCCGGAGTGGGAGAAACTGCTGCTGGAGTGGGAGAGACTGCTGCCGGAGTGGGAGAGATTGCTGCCGGAGTGGGAGAGACTGCTGCCGGAGTGGGAGAGACTGCTGCCGGAGTGGGAGAGATTGCTGCCGGAGTGGGAGAGACTGCTGCCGGAGTGGGAGAGAATGCTGCTGGGCTAGGAGAGTCTGGTGTATCATCAATATCTGTATAATAGAATTGTGCTGTATAGTAATTGGTACAGTATTATGCTACTACATATTAGATTTTTGTGGCGTGAAGGAATGTAAACTGACCTGCGTAATCGTCGTCATCCCCACAGAACTAGTCCGTCATCACTTCCGCTAAAGCCGCGCTGTCCACACCCCCGTCGTTGAGCAGGTGTGCGATCATGTCGTCCTCGGACATGGTGGTCAGATGCAGTGCAGAGAGCAGAGTAAGAAGAAAAGCAGAACAACAAGCAGACTGCCAAGTGAATGAAACTTTGGCGGGAAAAGAGCGGGCAGCCGCTTGTCGCTTGTAGAGTGTACTGCATACCGTATACATCTGCCGCATATTTCTCCATGTAACACGTCCGTGCATGGGTGGATGCCGTGTCGCTGCTGGACGGGAAAAAAAATCTTTTTTGCACTTTTTAACCAGGTTCTAGTGGGCACTTGGTGTCCCTAGACTGCAAAAAAAAAAAAACCGACAAAATCCCCGTCATTTGCTTTTGAGCCCATATCTCAAAATCAATTCTGCCGACTTATACCGCTTTTTCACGTGGATGGTCCAATATGTACATACCTCACACACATCAGCCACGGTAGTTGTAAGTAGTGATGTTACACCTCCTACTACCTAGTTACCAAAGACAAAAATATTTCAATTGCTAGTTAAAGGGAATGTGGCAGTATATTAGGGCTAAATTTGGAAATGTTACTAAAGATAGAACAAAACAATAGGGGCACTGTGAAATAATGCAACTGAGTTCCGTTTTTAGTAACATTTGCCCTTATATACTGCCACATTCCTTTTAAATGCCAGTTTCAATACTATCACATTATGCACTCAATCCCCTCAAGAAAGATTAATGACCGTCTATACCGCTTCTGGATTCATGTCATTGATGCCCTCAGTAGATGTTGTATGTAGGTACAGGCAGCATGGAATCTCCAGCAATTCCTCTACGAAACATAATTGAAGGGTATACAACTACCTTATCCAAATCAGCCGTTGTGTATATATACCTGAATTTTGTTGCATGTGCATAGCAAGCTTTCTGTGCCTCTGCATGACTCTCTGTACAGCCAGCACCATGTTCTGCAGCACGCTAACAGAGTCTATGGCTCGAGTCTTCCTGTTGCATCCACTCTTCTGCTCATTGCTCACCAGAAACTCTTGCGTTTCACAGCATTTTTGTCTGGGACTAAAACCAGAGTTAGTACTGGCTGCAGAAGCAATCCACTCTCTGCACTGCTGACAGGTGGTGATGAGATATGACCGTGCAATTTCTAGAAACTCAAACATTGCCACTCTAGAAACAAAACAAAAAATAGGGATCGAGAGAGTCAAGATATGCACAACTAATCACACAAACCTGTGGTTTTCTCTGCCTAGTACAAGATGAAGGACATCTAAAATTTGATTGCAGAATGACTCTACCTGTGAACAGACTCCTGCTACCTCTTGTACATCTTTCCTACAAGCAGTGGTAAGGATCCTAGTCAGATCTCAAAACATCTGAATACCTTGTAACAAAGAAGACACTTTCATCACCGCGTGTCTTTTCTTTGAGCATGAGCTGATCAAAGAGGATCTGCAGGTCTGGGACTTTATCCTAGAGCGCCGACCAATTACGTGTACATGTAAAGTGATGTTACATTTTTTTCATGAATTACCTGCAGCATGGTAATCGCTCTATTGGCAATGCTTCTGTCACCACATGAAAGAATGGGTGGAGCCTCTGCAGTAGTACTGGTGTCAACATTCTCAGGAAGAGTCTCTACGACATTTTTGAAGTCATGGACAAGTTCTAGAGACACCTCAACCATTGCTAGCGCTGTGCTCTGCAAGACAAGGAAAAAGTGTCTAAGATACACAGAGGTAATTGCACCGACAGTAAAAAAAGACTTCTACCGCATGTATCTTCAACCTACCTGCCAGTGCATGTATTCAGCGACTTGCAATGTGTATAGTTCCCCTCCGACCAAAAACTTTAATTGTTGGAGACGATGTCTACAAATGATAAAGGCCAAGTACTTGATAGGCATTCTCTAGAAACAGCTCAATAATCAACATCTACTTACTGCAGTATTCCAATGGAACTACATGCTGATGATAAAGTTTTCCGTTGACTGCAGATAAGCTGCACCAAATGACTGGCATACCCTTTACAACATTTCAGCTGGGTAGGTGATAGATCCTAGAGAGAAATAATCAGCGGTGACCTTGACTTGCAATATCAAAGTTCCATGCATGGTATACACACATACATAAGGTTACACAGAGCTGTTGCTAACGTACTTTTGTTGGAGTGACAAATGCTGACTGAAGGCTAGCCAGTCTCCCAATGGAGTGATAGAAATATTTCTGGATACTTTCAGTCCACTGATCAGGTATCTCCCTACAGAACAAACTCATCTGTATATTATGCTCTTAAAACAGTGTACATACACAGCAACTTGCTCTTCAATCACTGGGAGTTGAAATATCTCACACTTCAGTTCTATGGTGAAGTTGAGTTCACCGTGGCGAGAAAGACCTGCACTTGGAGTAATGAGTTAAATTGCCTCATTCTATAAGCATTACAGCTGCTACCATAATGCAGGATATTCTTACTGCAGCATTTACAGACTGCAACATAACTATGTATTGTACCTTGCTTCTTTAGATACTTGAAGAGTTCCACGATTGCTTTTCTTTTTTGGTTCAAGTTAAGTTTAATAGCACTTTTTCTCTTATCACCCTCAAGCTGAGAATTAATTGCAAAAAATTAAACAGCATTTGAAAGTAAGTATGAAAGCCCAGACCTTACCTTGTCCAAGAAATCGAGTGACTGCAGCTGCTTCACCGTTTCAATGATCTCTCCTGCAGATGGGGAGCATATTCAGGTGGTATGCTTGACACACTCTAATACAATAAGGGATACAATCACAACACCACCCTACTATTACTGTTTACAAAGAGGCAGTTGGTAATTTGCTAATACAGTCACTACATGCTGTGAATGCTACTGCCCTTCTTGTGTTCTGTCCCTGGTCATGTAGCCTTACAAGCATTAGCAAAGACAGACAAGGTCCAACTCTCCACGTAACAAGTAGTTGAACACGTGAACACTTGGTTAGTCCCCCTTAGCAGCTCAAATACAATTGTACACAGAGAATACAAACACTGACCAGAAAAGTCATTAACAGTAGTATTCCACTGCTGGTAGATAGCTGATGAGGAATATTCACACACCATTTCCTTCATGCGGCGGATCGCCATAGCAGCTGTCAGACTATGTGGATCTGACCCCGCAAACGTCCCCAACGTTACAGAGTGGAGTAACTGCTGTTGCGTATCCTACGTTCGTATTACACAATGACAGCTACAACATGGTAAAATTAATCACGTACTGTTAGGTTTAAGTCCGTGGATTCTAAATCCACTGTGTGGGGTATTTTCAACTGCTCATTATCCACACTACTCTCCTCATCAGAGTCATTTGTTTGGAGGGCTCCAGCTGTTAGTAATGGATGCACTGGTTCTGATAGAGCACCCTATACAAGAGTGAAGTTTCATATACCACTGTAATTATTGCCTCGCGGAAAGTATCACCTTTAGCTTCCTCATGAACTTCACCAGGGTCCTATGGCTCTTTTCCGTGGAAGCTTTCAGTGCCCAGTAATTTCCATCATTCCAACGCATAATTCTTACAAGATCCTAAACCAATAATGCAAAAGTTGAAACTACATTAACGAGAAACGTAAGAGTCTCACATTGAATTCTTTGTCGATAACTGCAGTAATCTTGCTGGAGTGAGAGGTAACTAATGGAGCAAACTGCTGGTAATAGTTCACAGTATTGGCCAGGAGATTCCCCAGGGTAGGATGACCTACATTATCGGAAATGGTTATAGTGGGGGTGTATACGTACATACTTTACTGACCTTGAAGAAACATATCTGTAGCAAAAGCACGCAGTAGCTTTAGTCTTATTGTGAATTCACCCAGTGATGCAACTTCAACAAACTCATGTACTGATTCTAAAAGTTCTTTGTTGTTACCTACAGGAAAGCACAGACTTAAGCTAAATTATGAAAGAATTCTTACGTACCTTGGCGATTACTGGTAGACTCTTGGCAGAGTGAATAAATGTGAAACCACCACTTTGACCCTTCACATTGCACACCAGATGAACACTCTTCAAAAAGAGACCGCCATGACCTACGTACGTATATACAGTCATTGTAGAGTACTTTGCCACAGCTACATGGACCCCTTTATTTACCTTAGCTCCAGCCTCCTCCAGTCCAGTATTAGCTGGGTAAGTTGATCCAATTGTTGGCGCAGAGAGACATGAGATGCAGCATATGCCTCCCAGTCCTTACATACAGAAACACATATGTAGGCTTATACTACACAACAATATTAGTCTTACCTGCGATTTTCGGAGAATGTATTCAAGACCAGCCAGAATCTTCATCAGAGGTTCCTGCACACTCAGTGACAACACCTTTCCACATGAGACCTGAACCTGAATACAAAGAACATAAAACACACCACAGTAGTTCATGCAAAGAGCAAAACACCCTACACTCATTTGTTACACAGGTACGTAACATATACCTGAACAAGGCCAGGATGATTTGGCCACTCCATAAGCAGTTCCTCCACTCTTTCTTTAAGTCCATTAACCACAGGCCCAACCTTCACAGCTTCACTCACTACTGACTCCTTATAGATGTTCCTATGGAAGGGAAGTGGTAAAAATTGAGTCGGTCTACAAAATACTATCCAACAGCATGCATTGCTCTAGGATAATACCTCTGCTTGAGTGGAAGTTCTCGAGTGAGCTCAGTGAGCATATCCTTACACATTCGTGCATGAGCACCAAAGAGACAGTAGTCGGTGGTCAATCCTAAGTGAGCACATAATAATAAGACGTGTGGTGTGTGGAAAAAAATTGGCTCAACCTGGGAGATTATCAAACTTGTGGGCAAGAGCAGCGGCAAAGGAATACCGAGCTCTCATGGTCTCAAAGAGTTGGTATGGATGATGCTGTGATTGTGACTGTGGTGTAAACAGTTGCTGATGAAGGTCGAAAACCTCTCTCATCTCTAAATAAGTGAACTGGCAAACTTCTTGGACACCTTCGTCTGCTTCCATATGAGCATCATCGTTACTGCTGTCCTCTTTCCCACTTAATCTCTCGAAGTGTTCATCGTAGATTGGAAAAATCTGCCTCACCACTTCATCGTCAACCTCTCCCTCCCCAAGTAGGCTAATATTGTGTGTCTTTGTCCTGTAGCGATAAAGAGAGCTCTCTTGCTCCATCTTGGCCCTATTTGCCTGTTCTGCTCTGTTCCACAGGAGCCAGCAATATTTCAGCAGAGTTGAACATAGTGAGTACCACCTTCTTGAGAGTGTGGTACAAGAGGTGGTATTGGAGATAAAGCATTTTGAAAACTTCACTCCTATTAACAGCATTCTGTGATAATGGGACCAATTGAAGAACTTAGTATAACAATAATGATATTTACCTTTTATGAAACTGCTGTCTTTCTGATTCTTTCAATGCTGAAATGTCTAAAATCAATACACCAAAAGACATTAATTGTCAAATTATGGAAGTCAGGGGGCACATATAAACAGAGGATATTAACCTGTAACTACAAGGAGCCACACTCACATACCTTCAGTGATAACTGTCAACGAATCTAGCAGTTGCAGTATGAATGCTGCTGAACCACTTCCGTTCTCAGTTGTGGCAAACGGGAATTGTGAAGAGTCCCTCAACACAGACAAAAGTTTAAACTATTTTATGGTACACAAAAATAATAATCACTTCTCATGCAGTACTATAAACATACTTGTGGAGAAAGAATTGCCAATCGAAACGACATTAGAGAGGTGACACCAGCCACTGTCTGCGTAAGAAATACAGACAGCAATAAAACAAACAGGTAAAAACTACAACTAATCTTAGATGATTTTACTGATGCGAAAGGGTCAGAACAAATTAGAGACCTTTGCAGCTGATATCTCCGATAGTGCCAAATAAGTTGTTTATGTGCAATTTTATCAGAGTGTTTGTAGAAGCTCTGTGTAGGGATGGCATAGTTCAAAACTAACATATAAGTGTCAGTGACAACAGCTTAATGAAAAGTTAAAAAGTGTAAAAAATGAGCAGAGGAACTGGAGCGATAATTTTAGCATCAAAAGGCTTGCAATAAAGATATTAGCAGACATGGGACATGGTTAGCTAGCTGTAAAAAGATACCTCCAGTAAGAATTGAACTCGGCCCCATACAGACTATAAACACAGTATGCATGCACACCGAGGATTAATCACCCATAGCTATAAATGGCCAAAAGTCTTGTACATGTGCCTTCAATTTTCCATTGGAGAATTCATTCATGTGCGACCAATGTTCCTGTCATCATAATTGTCTTCCTCTACTTCAGTAATCCTGCTATCTCTGAAACAGTGATGGGCTAATTTTTTACGACATCGTAGCCTGCACCATTCGGGATTACCCCACTGGGCCACCGTAGCATTGCCGCGCCGTTGCAGTGTCATCAGACCAACATCGGAGCGCCGTCTGTGTGCCGTCACTGCCCCGTCGCAGCGCCGTGAAGCACAACATCCTTGAAGTTAATAATAGTGCTCATACGCATGACTACAAGTCCACCCATTGTGAAGATCGATGGTAGAGCCTTCTCCAGTTGTGAAGTAAGTATTCTTACTTTGTGAGGCTATTAGTATTATGAAGCATGCTCTAGAGACGAAACTTGGCCTGACCCAAGTGGCTACATGCCCACAAGAACAAATTGGGTGGAATTGTTCAGGGGAAAGTGTGCTGATAGCTAAAAGGTGTACTAATGAGAGTGTAGAGTTGATAAGTGGCGTCGTGATACTCTGGTAAATGTTCCTCCTAAAAGGAGAGTTATGTTCGTAATTATGTTTTGTCTCATAAAGCCATAGTCTATAACCGAACAAGATTCTGAGAGCAGCCTCGTCTGACGAAGACGATGACCAGCTGCATTCTGTCTCAATCACTGGCATTAGAGAACTGGAAAATGTCTATGGATGCATCAACTGCAACAAAGCCGTCGTCCCATCAGATGCCGAGAATGGGATATGTGAGACTTGCAAAACCACACAAAAAATGCGTCCAAACAGACGGCCAAACTGATCTTCCAAGAAGGGACCACAATATTTACACTTCGTGCTTTTGGCTTTGCAATCTGAAACCAAAGTCACAGAACAAGATCTGCTATTTGCACCAACCTTCCAATGCTCATACAACAAGTTCCACGCTCAAATATCCCACCGACTATCACTGTGAGCGAGTAAAGGAAGTGATTGAAGCAGAGAAAAGTGAGGATTTAGAAGGTAAACTGAAACTGAAAAGAATATACAAGATAGCTTTCAACGGATGAAGAGGGTAAGCATGGTAAGAGGAACAAAGAGGAGGGAGAAGAGAACCTGAACGGAGGTGAAAATGGAGAAGAGGGTGGGAGCAAAGATGAAGAACAGAGGTGAAAATGGTGAAGAGAAGTGGAACAGAGAGGAGAAGAGGAACAAAGATGAAGAAGAAGAGAACAGCACAGGTGAAGAGATCAAAGAGAGCCAAAGTGAAGATGGAGAAGAGGAGAGGGATAATGACGGCGGATATGAAGGAACTATTGACACAGTCGATCTTATTAGAGAGATGAAAGAGCAGGAGAACTCAAATTATGATGCTAGACCATCACAGTTTAGAACTGTTAAAAGCTTCACTAGGAGCATGGGACTACTTGTTCCATATAGTGCGTGCACTCATAAATGTCCATAATTTTGAAATAAATTTGCGCGGTCAAAAATTTTTATGGGGACAGCGCTTTCTACGTATGTAATACGGCTAGCAGAGAGTAGTATATCCAAATTTTGCTCTATTTATAGATTGCATACGTGACCTAGGGACTGTTGAAGTATTGACCAATGAGATGGGCGAAAAATTCACGAAAATTCGGCACACGTCCGGTACGCGATACTTATGAATTATTAATAAGGCATTCTTCTCAGCGGTAATGCGTTATCCACGAGAGTTTTGGCTCCAGCGATCAACTCTTCCTACAAAATCTGGCATGGAGAGCACTCAAAAAGCCCCGTGGTCCCGTAAGAGAAAGCTGAAAGCGAAAATGGAACGAATGCATGAGGCAAAGCTCGCAAGATCTGACACTTCAACTTCGCCCTCGACAGCCATCACTCTACCCGATCCCACGACCTGTGGATCACAAAGCGAGTCTTATGAGACTCCTTATTCATTTTTACAAGGTACTACTGGAGTTCACGGGCCCGAAATGTCACTAGGAGACGCTAGACGAGTCACTTCGCGTTCCTGTCACCACGCTAATGAGTGAAGACGATTCAAGTGAAAGCGATGACAACAGTGAGAACTTTAATGCTGATGCACGACAGATGTACGAAGAATGGCTAAAAGAGCAGCCCAAGCAAAACATCAAGATTATGGCTGTCATGTTCATGGCACCACATGGTTTTTTTCTACACATGGGCACCTTGATCGACAGGTTCAACATGACAACTCATGGCGCAGCGAATGAAGTTGGGCTTGTTTGAAAAGACAATTCGTACTTGGCGACAGGATTTGTACACCAACCATGGTTACTTCACTGAATCAAGGCAGGGAAAGCATGCCCGTCTCATCATTTTGGATGATGAAGGTTTGCGTCACAAAGCAGCAGAGTGGGTCCGCACAAATGCAACTGCAAAAGGAAAACCCAACATGACTGGAGAAAAGTTTTGTGCGTGGGTGAACACCCACCTTCTTCCTGGTGCTCAACTCCCACCAGGGTGTCCACAGCAGATACAACCACGCACAGCCATCAAGTGACCTTGGTTTCGTTCACAGTCACACAAAAGGAACATCTACGTTGATGGGCATGAACGAGACGATGTAGTTGAGCACCGAAAGCTCTACCTTTGAAAACTACACATCCTATCTTCGACACTTGTTTGAGTTTGATGGTCTCCTACAGCTAAACATGGACGAATACAGGAGAGCTGCTCAGTCAGATTCTTCAATCAAAATGTGTGAAAGGGAGATCATAAAGTTTGGGTCTGGAAGCGAGGGTTACTGGAACAATGCAAAATGGAAATGGCCATCAAAATTGCTCACATCAAGTACTCATCAGACAACAACAGTAAACTGTGGCTGTTCGATCAAAGCAGTGGCCATTGTGCTTTCAGAGAAGACGCTCTCAATGTCAACAGAATGAATGTCGGTCCAGGACCTAGAATGAGAGATACAGTATGGGATGGAAGAATGCAGAAAATGGTTCTCTCTGATGGCCGGGCAAAAGGCATGAGGATTGTGCTTCAGGAGTGTGGAGTGGACACCGCAAGGATGAAGGCAGCAGACATGCGGCTTGTGTTGAGAAGTCATGCTGACTTCAAGAATGAGAAAACTGCGCTTGAACATGTGGTGCAAGAGAAAGAACAGCGTGCTATTTACCTCCCCATGTTCCACTGTGAACTTAATCCCATCGAAAGGGTTTGGGGAGAAGCCAAACGTTTTACAAGATCACATTGTGATTATACTTTTGCGGGTCTAGAGCATACCGTAATACATGCCTTTGAATCTGTTGGACTTGACACAATTCGCAAGTACTTCGGGAATATCGAGAAGGTAATGCAGGAGGAAATGATGTCGAAAACGCTGTTCAAAAGTACAAATCACACAGGCATGTATTTGGAAACGTAGAATGACTGTGTACTCAGTGTGTTTTGTGTTGTTTAGAAAATCTTCTTTGTTTATGTGCACTCACAGCAATTTTCAGTTGTAAGCCACACATTGCTTTTTTGAAATTTCTCATTATGCATGTCATGCGATTTTGAATAATTCTAAAACTTCACAGAAGTAAAATCTACTCAAAATCTTCTTTGCACTTTATTAGTCCGTTTTACGTTAAAGTAATGAGGACGAGCTTCAAAATTTTAAAGAGGAATTTTTAAACAAACAATGGTTAATGAGTTTATGGGTCATTGCCATGGAAACTAAGTTAATTAGTATGTCCTTTAGTGACCTCTTCCAAACATAAAATATGGTAGGTCACGTTTTCATGAGTTACAGCATAATTATCGTATCCCACACATTCCTTGTGGAGATTGAGTGCAAGCACTATACTCCCACACTTCTTTATGACAGTTAACGAGCCGGCCACGATGCACGCATGTGCCTCGGTAAAAGAGCACATGGTCAGGGCATTTTGCTAGTTTGCTCGTCGCCGGGTGGAAGCTCATCCCTTGTGTGCTCAATTTTCTTTTCCCATCACATCTTAGTAGCGCAGATGGCCTCAGACGACGCGGGTGCCACTTCTGGCCTACACGAGGAGCTGACTTTCTCCGCTAAACAGCTGGTAGTAATTGACCGCCTGGTTTCTGCCAGGGCCTCAGTTCCTGCTTCTGCAGGTGCTATCGTCGTCCTCTTCCTCATCATTGGCTCCGCTCCGCTCGGATTCGGGTAAGCCGGCCTTCGTTCCCGTAGCTCTTGTCCGGCGACCCACGGTCCACCGGGGCCAGAGGTGCCCGGACCGCTAGGCACCCACGGCCCGCCCGTGCCACCGGGATGCTCCCGTTTACGTCTGCCTGTTCTCAGGCAGGCGGGGACCTACCCACCGGCCGCTAGGCACCTACAGCCCGCCGGGGCCCCCGGGGTGCCACAGGTGATGTGGGGCTCCCTTGACTGGGGAATCGTCGACGCAGCCCTGTACAATGAGGGGTTCGTGGGGTGGGCGAAACAGAGATACCCCGTTGCAAATACTGCCTCTCAGACACCCATTCGTCACCTGAATGACCGCACGTGCCGGTTGGCACGGAACGCTCTATGGGGATCGGGCTCGAACAGCCGCCCGGCGTCGACAG